TCTTTTGGGGGGCCAAGATCATTTCATCCATAATTGTTTTATCCTGGGTCCCTTCCTGGCCGCGAGGGGGCCAGGAACAATTAGAAACGAGCGCAATTAGAAATGAGCACGATTATAAATGAACGACGTGTATCTGTGGTAGTCTATTTCGGAGGGGGCTCGTCGCTGCGGCCGAGCGCCAAGAGGGGCCCAGGGATTGGAGCCGAGCGGTTTGGGAGGATGAGGAACAGGGGCACAGGGGAAAATAGTCGCCAGCGAGAAGAAGCAGCGTCCTCCGCCGCCGCCGACGACGAGGCCCCGGACGTTTTCAGTCGTTTCTGTGCCCAGATGTGGGCCAAGTGCAACGAGGTGATGCGAGGCGGGCAAACAAACGGGGTCATCTGCGCCGACACTCGTGCGCAAGTTGCCCTCGTAAGGTCGCGCGTAAGCGCCCTGGTCTCCAATGTGGCATGCCGCGCTGGCGGCCCGCGTAAGCCACCGCGTAAGGTCGCGAGGACATCCTGCGTAAGACCCGTCTCTTTTCGTCGCTCACGCGGCAGGCGCAGCATCCAACACTTTGCGCCGTGCCCGACTTGGGAGGAGACACGGGGCGGGCTTCTCGTCCGGGGAGGGGCACCTGCTACTTACTGCTGCTGCTCAAATCCAGCAGCTTGCCATACTCCTACTTTCTTCGATTTCGCTTATTTTGTTGTGTGTGGGTTGGGGGGGGCAGGTGCTTACGACGCCACCGCCACATTGGATCATGTGACAGAGCACGTTTTCACTGGCGAGTTTTTTGTGCGAATTCCTCGCCAATTTTTGGTAGCGCACCTGAAGCATCTAGCGGTTCACAACCAGGGCTGTCGCCAGAATGAAGATCACCAGCGTCAAGATCTCGCACCCAGGGCATTTTGAGGCGGCACCGTCGCCAAATGCTGGTCTGCGGCAGCGCAGAACTTGGCAGCTTGCAGCCGAGTTTGAGCCGATAACAACCAGCATCGACCGATCTCTGGTCTCCCTGGTGGTTTCAGATCAGTTCGCCCTTCGGTCCAGCCTCGAACACGTGTGCTCGACCAAAATCTGCCGCTTGCCAAGAGCTCGGCCAGTTTTCCCCTTACCCCCCCCCCTTTCTCTCCTGGGTTTTTTTTTTAGTCCCTCCTCCTTTGCAGTCAGGGCGCTGAGATGAGGACCACCTTCGGGACCGGGAGGGGCCTTGGTGTTTTATGCCACGGGCAACGATCGGGGGGGACAGGCACAGGGAGGGACGCATCGACCCCCAATCGCCCATTGTTCGCCGATGGCCCTTCACCTGCTCAGGAGGGTGCGGACTCACTCTCGGGGCCCCATCACCGATCTATCGGCGATGTATCGCCGATTCCAGGTCGATGCATCCCAGGGAGTTAGATCCCTTTTGTTTCTCCATCTTTCTATTGGTGGTGAGAGGTAGGGCCCGCGTAGGCTAGCAGTGCGAGCAGGGAAGACGACACCTCAGGGTCAAGAAAACCAGTTCCTATCGCGACGCAGCTTCCATGAGGAGGAGGAGGAGGAGGAAGAGGAGGAGGAGGAGGAGGAGGAGGAGGAGAGGGGAGGAGGGAGGAGGAGAAGGAGGAGGGAGGGAGGAGGAGGGAGGATGAGGAGGAGGATTGCCCCTCATTGTGGCCGCTCCCTTGGTTTGTGGCGTCGGCTGTGGAGCCCGTTCGTGGCCGCGGCTCGCCTCGGCCAGGAAGGCCCCCCGCCGTTCTCCTGGCCCGCGCTCGTGGCGCTCGAGGTTTAAGTCGGGCGTGCCCCCCTGCAGGGGGGAATATCCTCCTGCTCCTCCTCCTGCTCCTCCTGCTCCTCCTCCTCCTCCTCCTCCTCCTCCTCCTCCTCCTCCTCCTCCTCACATTCTCCTCCTCCTCCTCCTCCATTTCCTCCTCCTCCTCCTCCTCCCTTCCGGAGGAGACGGAGGAGAGAGGGAGAAGACGGGCTCAAAACATAGTCTGGGCACGATATTTTGACAATGTCGGTGTTTTTTGTGACTGGTGTCCGAGTGTTTTTCAGCAGCTGCCCAGAGTTCCGCCCGCAGGAGGCCATGCCCGACCGAACGCCCGAGCGAGGACTGTGATGGGGGGCAGTGGTCCTCCCGCTTCCTCCGCTTTCTCCTCCTTCCTCCCTGCGCCCCCGCTGGGAGGAGCGCTTCCTCCTTCCTCTTCTTTCTCCTTCCTTCCTTCCTCCTCTTTTCTTCTCTTCTCCTTTCTCATCTTTCTCCTTCCTCCTTCCTCCTTCCTTCTTTCTTTCTCCTTCCTTCCTTCTCCTCCTTCCTCCTCTTTCTCCTTCCTTCCTTCTTCCTCCTTGGGGGGAGAGCTGCGTCAGCGCTCTTGCGCAAGGGACGTCTCGCGCTCCCGCGTACCGCGCTCCCCAGCCACGTGTCTGGGACGGCATGCTCGCAACGACTGGAGGCAGACAATCGCTGGCAAGATGTGTTGTCTCCCATGGGTGGCGAGGAGGAGGAGGAGCAGGAGGAGGAGCAGGAGGAGGAGGGAGGATGGAGGGCTCCTCCTCCTCCTCCTCCTGTCCTCCTCCTCCTCCTCCTCCTTCTCCTCCTCCTCCTTCTCCTCCTCCTCCTCCTGGTCCTCCGAAGGGCCCCCCCCGAAGGCGCTTCCGACGCGAGGCGAGCTCCCGCTCCCGCCTCTCCCGGCACCCCTGCTGCGGCACGTGCGGCGTCGGGGGGCGGGCGCCCCGCGCGCCCGCTTCCCCATCACAGGGCAGGGCCCAGAGCAATCCCATCGATCCCATTGGATACCTCGGAGAAGAAAAGACTGCACAGACATGAACTCGTCTATAGGCCTGGAGTCGACTCGTTAAAAAAATATTCGCCGAGCGCGAGGCGATGTAGTTCTCGGAGAAGGAAGCAACACATCATCAGCATAAACTTGCGGCGCTCCGCGCGGGTTTCTTTGATCCGCGCCTGGGCCCCCCGGCGGCGCCTCCGGTGCCGCTCCGTGCGCCAGGGAGGGGGGCTAAGCGCAGATCCAAGAATTCCGCGCGGAGCGACGCAAGTATATGTTGATGTGTTGTTTTCTTCTTCTAATCATAGGGCAGGGCCCAGATCGATCACATCGATCCGATTGGATACCGTGTTCGGCCAGTTCGAACCGATTCGATCTCGCTCTCCCTGCGATCCGCTGCTCACGTGGGGCTGCTGTGCACCCTGGTTCGGCCGAGGTCCGCCCCGATGTTGACTCGGTGCCCCGATGCGGCCCGATCCGGCGCACACCCCCGGGTCGATGCGAGCTTTCCCGATTGGATGTTGGCCGATCCTGCCATAGGGGTGGGTCCGCCTCCGCCTCCGCCTCCGCCTCCGCCTCCGCCTCCGCCTCCTCCTCCTCCTCCTCCTCCTCCTCCTCCTCCTCCTCCTCCTCCTCCTCCTCGTGGGGAGGGGGGGGGCGGAGTCCCTGTGCTCCCGTGTGCGGGGCGGGGTCTGGGCACGGGCAGGCACCAGACGCCTCTCTCCAAGCCCCACGGGGCTCCGGCGCCAGAAGCGCCTCTGGCGCCAGGCGCCAGATGCACTGCACCGTTCCCGCTCTCCCTCTCCCCTCTCCCTCCTCCTCCCTTCCCTCCTCCTTCCTCCTCTCCTCCTCTCCTCCTCCCCGCCTCCTCCCCGCTCCTCCTCCTCTCTCCTCCTCCCTCACCTCCCTACTTCCCTCCTCTCCTCCCTCTCCTCCTCCTCACTCTCCCTCCCCTCTCCGCCTCCTCCTCTCTCCTCCTCCTCCTCCTCCTCCTCCCTTCTTGCTCCTCTTCTCCCCTCCTCTCTCCTCCTCCTTCTCTCCTTCCTTCTTCTCTCTCTTCCCCTCTTCTCTCTCCTCTCTCCTCCGTCCTTCCTCTCTCCCCTTTCCTCCTCTCCTCCTCCTCCTCCTCCTCCTTCTCCTCCTCCTCCCCCTCTCTCCCTCCTTCCTCCCTTCCTCCCTCCTCTCCTCCCCTTCCCTCTCCCTCTCCTCCCTCTCCTCCTCTCCTCCCTCCTCTCCTCCTCTTCCTCCCTCTCCTCCCCCTCCCTCCCTCCTCCTCCTCCTCCCTCCTCCTCCTCTTTCCTCTCTCCTCCTCCTCCTCTCCTCCTCTCCTCCTCCTCCTCCTCTCCCCTCCTCTCCTCCTCCTTCTCCTCCTACTCCTCTCTTCCTCCCCTCCTTCCCCTCTCCTCCCCTCCTCCTCTCCTCCCTCTCCTCCCTCCTCCTCCTCCTCCTCCTCCGCCTCTCTCCTCCTCCCTCCTCCTCCTCCTCCTCCTCCTCCTCCTTCCTCCTCCTCTCCTCCTCCTCCTCCCTCTCCTCCCTCCCCCCCTCCTCTCCTCCTCCTACTCCTCCTCCTCCTCCTCCTCCTCCTCCTCTCCTCCCCTCCCCCTCCTCCTCCCCTCCCTCTCCTCCCTCCTTCTCCTCCTCCCCTCCTCCTCCTCCTCCTCCTTCTCCTTCCATCACTCCTCCTTCTCCTCCTCCTCCCTCCTCCTCCTCCTCCTCCTCCTCCTCCTCCTACCTCCTCCTCCTCATACCTATCCTCCTCCTATGATCTCAAACGGCCGTGCACGCACCCCATGGTTTCCTGCTCCCTCGCCGCCCCCCCATCCTCTCTCCTCGTTTGGATGCGGCTTCCTGGGAGGTGCAGACCAGCACTGCCGCTAGTGAGTACATCCGCGGTCGGAGGGTGGCACTCTCCTGGCTGATTCCGCTTTGTCCTGGGCTGAGGTTTGGGCAGGTTTGGCCCAGTGGCCAGCGAATCTGTTCAGCAGCCCTTACATAACCGCTCTTGCGACGACCTCCCAGGAGCTGCCTCCTAATTCCCCCCCCTCTCCCCCCTCCTCGCCCCTTCCTCCCTCCGTCCTCCTCGTCCCTCTCCCCCCCCCTCCTCGCTCCTCTCCCCCCCCTCCTCCTCCCTCTCCCCCCCTCCTCGTTCCTCTCTTCCCCTCCATCCTCCCTCCTCGCCTCCCCCCTCCTGTCCCTTCCTCCCTCCGCCCTTCCTGGCCGAGCGGGAGCGCGCGACCAGTGGGGGCCCGGGAGGCTGCGGACGGGGCGGCCCGGGCGGCCCGCCGGGCCCCGGCCGGGCGCGGCGGCGGCCTGGGCGTGCACGAGCTAGAGGACTTCGAGGACGTGGCGGAGGACCTGAGGCCACTTCCTCCCCAGACCCCCTTTGGGTCATGGCAAAAGTCCTGACGGGGAGTTTTTGGCTCTTTTCGGCCTCTGGGGGCCCTCACCAGGCCTCGGGAGCGTCCAGAAACGGCTCAGGATGAAAAAAGCCGGTCCCGGGGAAGGGGTTCAGACCGCTGGTGGTAATTAGACGTTGTGACTTGAGGTCGCTTCCTCAGATCTGGGAAGGCCGGATATGAAAATGAACAGGGGATACCTGCCCTCAAGCACCCACACACTAGCTCGACGAGCTCGCCCAGCGCCGTGAATCCGCCAAGCCACAGACGATCCCTTTGGCACCACAACCGGCCAAAGGGTCAACCGGCCTGGGAAGGCCTAGCGGCCGGTGCCGCCGACCCTGAAGGGGGACGGCGACGACGGCGGCGGCGGCGGCGGAGAACCTGAGGTCGCTTCCCCAGATTTAAGTCGGACGTGTCCCTCTACAGGAGGAGTATTCAACAACAGTCCACAAATACTCTGGAAACTTTTGTTTTAAAGTATTTCTTTGGTTATTGGGGGGCATTTTTTGAGTATGTTTAATTTTTCGCCCAGAATCCACCTGTAGGGGGACATGCCCGACCTAACCTCAGATCTGGGAAGGCCCAGCGGCTGGTGCCGCCCACCCTGAAGGGGGACGGCGGCGACGGCGGCGGCGGCGGCGACGACGACGACGCCGACGCTGATGAGACGTGGTGGAGGACCTGAGGTCGATTCCTCAGAGCTGGGCCGTGGCATCGAAGAATAATAATACGAAACGCCATAAACATAAACTTGTGGCGCTCCGCGCGGATGTCTTGGATCTGCGCTTGGTCCCCCAGTCGGCGCCTCTGGCGCCGCCCCTGGCGCGCTCCGCGCGCCAGGGAGGGGGCCCAGTGCGGATCCAAGAAATCCATCCGCGCGGTGCGCCAACAGTTTATGTTCATGGCGTTTTTTCTCTTTCCAGTGGCAAGATCATGGTGGCGGCATGTTGTTCATTGTCCTCGGCCTCTTTGAAGCTGTGCTCGGGCCGAGGGGCCCGTCACGAAACGACTCAGGATCATCAGCAAGCCGACCCTGGGGGAGTGGGCGAGATACCCGGGGGGGGGGGGGGGCGACGTCGAGAAGAGATCGCAACGTCGGAGAAGGCCGCTTCGGGGATGGGTGTTGTTCGAAGGAAGACCTCGCGAGCGAATTCTCTCCCCAAACCCTGTCCAGCCCCCCTAAACCCTGGGAGCTCGGAAGAGAAGGGGAACTCGGGGCTACACCCCCAGGAGGCTATTCGGACGCACACCTCTACCGAGGATGCACGCTGCCCCATCAAATACCTCCGAGTTTGGCCCAATCATGTGTCCAGTCGAAAACCCACAAAGTCGGGGATCGGATTGAGGTCGCCGTACCACCGCTTAAAATTTGCAACATAAGTAGATGTGTGGAACATTCACTTCGAAGGGCTCCCCTTCACTCCTGGGCCTTCACATTGAAACAAGTCAGAGCCCAGTTTTGAACATGCAAGCACTTTCAATATTGAGGCTGGGGTGTGGAGGGGGGGACTCGTGTCTTCACAGTTCGGGCGACGTTCTTACAAAGTTACTTCTCCCAGCCTGCCAAGTCGATTCGCAAATCCGCCCGTGGGGGCCCTCTCTGGCTTCTCGAGGATGTGTGGTGGTTGGCTGCTGCTGATTCCCTCTCATGTGGAAGTTTACCGCTTGCCTTTCTCTCACACGGTCTGGCCCACGCGGTCGATCACAGCCTCGGATTCGTCCGAGCATTGTCTACTGGCACATTGGGGAGACAGGTGTGCGTTTTTGGTAAGGTTGCATCGGTAATTACGCCACGGCCCCTCCTCGGCTTGGACAAGCGCTTCTGCAGCAGACTCCAAGAACCTGGGCCCGTACCCCAACGCTCTCGTGCATGTAGCAGTCTTTGCGTGCAAGCGCAGGTAAAAACGTGCCTAAGGTTATGTCATGAAGATGTCGAGGTGCAACTATCTTCCGTTTGCCCAATTCAGCTCCTACCAGTGGCTTGGCAGGTCGGGGTCTTCCCTTCCGTCGCTCATCCCCACTGGCCCGCTCGGAGGTGCTGTGTCTGCCAGGAGGGGTACCACTTCCAGCCCGAGGAGGTGCTGTGCGTGTACATCTTCGTAAAGCCTGTAGCGGTGCAGGAGATTGAGCCCTGCGCGTTCTGCTTGCCCCCGCCCCACCTGGCAAGGCTTCGGGTTGCGCACGGGCAGCCCCCGCCCAGGGTAGTTCCAGCCGGCCTCAGCGGGCCCTCCGACTCGTCCAGGGCGGTCTGAGCTGCCCGCGGAGCGCCCCAACAGCGCCGCCGGAGGCGGCGCCAGGTTGTTGAGACCGCCCCGGATTGCTCGGGTAGCTTGTTGAGGCCAGCCGAGACTACCAGGGGGGGCGGCTGTCTGCGCGCAGCCAGGAGCCCTACCAGCCTCCTTCCTCCTTTAAAGTCTAAGGCAGTGAGATGTCATCTGCAGATCTGAGGACGTCATACGTTGTGATGCTTATGTTTCCATCCTAGAAAAAAGGCGCCGCGTAACAAAGCAATTGGCATCCCGGGTTTCTGGACGCCCCTGCACGGGTCGGGTGCTTTCAGGCCTTCGGGGCCTTCAGGACGCCCTTGCAGGGCATGGCCAGCGGGCCCAGGCACTTGCAAGACGCCCGCAGACGGCCCAAGGAACATCCGCAAGAGGCATTTGGATTGCAGCAACATGCATGCTCATAAAAGCATTAGTTCCCATCGGTTGTTGCACGATTTGTTGACACTCGGCTCTTCGGTCTTCAGGGTGTCCGAGCCCGCGTCAGAAACTACGAAGATCGTCCAAACAACGGGCTGCCAGATAGTCCAAGAGAGCCCCCAGATGGCCCAACAGCGCCCAACTTTTGCCAGAAGAACATGACAGCCCAAGATGGCTCCAACACGCCCCCCCGAAGCACTCCAAATCGTGATTGGTCGTTGAGGGGGACCGTGGTTCGCAGAAAGGTGGCCCGAGGAAACCCCTCAATTCCCCCAGAAGGCGCCCAAGAGGCTTCTGGGGGTCCGAAAGAAGCCCTTAAAGTAAGGCCCCCAAGAGGCTCTCCCAGGAGGAGCCTCCGCACAAGCAAACAGAAGAGGACGGGGGAGGGTTCTTTCGCAGGGTAGGGCGAGGATGACGAAGAGGTGTACGAAAGAAGAGGAAAGTAGAAGGAAGAAAATGATTACGGCCAGGAGCTTCGGCTTAGCGTGGCGTGCCGTCGGTTCTGGCCCACCACGCCTCGGCACGACACGCTAACCACAGCATGAGCTATCTTCCGCCCTCGGCACGCTTCGCAAAGGTCTTGACCGAAAAACGACGACGGAGAAATCGGAAACAAATGGCTACTGTTATGTTTGCGTGTTTACCTCTCGCGCATCGCCCGCCTGCGTGCAACACGTGAAGGACCAAGGTGCCGGGCGCGACGCCCCAGTGCAGTCTGGAGCCTGCGTGGTGCAATATACATCTATGTTGGCCAAGCTTTCGATCGGTTGAGAACACAGATAAAGCGAGGAGCCCCAGGGACGGCACCGACGCCGCTGCCAGGGGAGCCTGGCGCCGATCCGAGAGATTTCCCCGGACTCTTGGAAGCGTATGCATGTGTCGTCTTTGTTCTATTTCTGGGCAAGGCGCTGAAATGAAGAAGAGTACGGGTTCGGAAGAGGCTCGCTGTTCACCGGGCCTTTCCGTGGTTCTTACTCCAGCGCTCCCAGCGCATCTGGGCGCCTTGCGGGCCACGTAGGGGCTTCGTTTCGCGTTTAGCGTTCCATATGATGCGGTGAGGAACTTGTGTTCAGCGTGTCATGTCGTCGCCATTGCCACACGCGTCGCCTTGCAAATCTGACAGCGTGCCGCTCTGCTTCGTTGGGCAGGAGGCTGGGAACAGCCTGGAACGCTCTCGCTCGTGGATTGGGGCGTGCTTTGGCGCGTCGCGCCCAAGTGCGGCGGGCCAGCATTGGCGGCGCGACACGCTGAGTAGAAACTCTTGACCGCATCGCAGCGCGATGACTTCTAGGGTGTTGCCAAGGGTGTCCCTGGCCCACTGTGCGTCCCTGGCAACCCCTGGCAGGCCCCCCCGGCCTCCAGAGCATTCCTCACAAGGCCCAGCCCCAGGGGCCCCAAAAGCGAGCGAAAAGCTGGGGACATCTTGGGCCATGGACAGCTCTGGAACATGTTTGTACTTGGGCGCTGGCAAGCTTACTTGCGTGAGATTTCGCCCCCCCTCCTCCCGTCGCTGTTTCTTCCAGCGCTGGGCCGACATAGCGTGCAAGCGATCCCCGACTTGCGTGAAGCCCGAATCTGCTTTCGGGCCTCGCGACGACCCCCCTGCATGCAAGCAGGACTGCCGGACCCTGCAGAAAACCAGCCGCCTGGTCACGTCCTGAGGCCCCAGGCATGCGACGTCTTGATTTCTTGAAGTACGCGGCCCCCAGAAGTCCCGACCCGTTCCCCGGGACCGGTTTTTCGTCCTGTATGAGTCCATCTATGACGGTCCCAGGGCCCAGCGAGTGCCTCCAGAGGCCGACAACGGCGAGAAACAATTTTTTGGTCTGCGGGGCGAGAGCGGACCTCTTCCGGTAAAAGCTAGGCGGGCTACGCACAGCTCTAATTGGGGAGACAGGGCACAGGCGGGCGGGGCCTCAGGCGGCCGGAGGGCGGGCCGGGGTGCAGGCGGTGCAGGGCGGGCCGACCACGGCGAAAAACAACCATCCCGAAGTTTTGTGGCGACGCGATCCTGTCGGGGGCGCTCGGTCGTCCGTCCGTCCGCCGCCGGCGCCGGGTCGCCGCGCAGCCCCCCCGACGAGGCGGCGCAGGTGTCGCCGGAGCCCCGTGCGGAGGGCGAGGCGGGCCCCGCGCGGGCTCTACGCGCCGCCGCCGGCCCTCCGCCGCTGCCTGTGACGGCCTTTGCCGTTGGCGCCGCCGCCGCCGCCGCCAGTCGATCGAGGATGTCGATCGGGCCACCCCCATCTGTTTTCCTCTGGCTTTTGATTTGAAGGTTTTTTGCGTTTTCGCCCATCGGCCTCCCGGCGCTCTAAGAAGACGGCCGAAAGATCGCCCCCGAACGGCCTAAGAGGCCCACGAGAGAGCGCCCAGATGGCCTAAGACGCCTGCAAGACGGCCCAAGAGGCCTCCAAGGCCCTGAGATCCTGGCGTCTCAATTTGTTCGAGCTGGGCGGTTTCGCCTTTTTTCGGGCCCCGTGACCCTCACAGATCGATAATATGGATGGAAAGATGGCGCGGAGAGATGGATTTGTGAACAATCACGACGGGAGGTTTTTCGTTATGGTCGGCCTTTGGGGGGGGCCCTTCCCGGCTCTCGGGACCGTGCACAAACGACCCATGGAGGAAGAACGGGTCCCGGGGGAGGGGCCGAGATCTCCAGGGGTCGGCGTTCTGAAGAAATCACGACGTCGTTGGTCTGGGGCCGTCGCCGCCACCTCCGGTCGAGCGAGGAATCCCGATCGGGTAAGACAGGTCGGCTCCTGGAGATTCTGTTCGGGGGTGCCAAAGAGGGGGGTGATGACTAGGGGGGGGGGATATCACGGCGGGGGCCACGATAATTCCTGAGAGCTCACGGCGCCTCTTCTTATTTCCTTACGTCCCCGCCCCGCCCCCTGGGCCGCGCACGTGCCGCCGGCCATGATTTGCGGCCCCCCCACCCCTTGGAGGCCCCCCTCTTGGCCGCCCCCGATCTGTCGCCTCGGGATTCGTTCCAGCAGCTGCGCCTCGTGGAGGTCGCTCCAGGAGCTCCCAGATCGTCCGGATCGGCCGCCAGAGGCGCTGGTTTTGGTTCAACGGGTTAGCCAGCGCGGGCCCCAAGCGGAGTGTTCTGGCATATTTTGTGGTGCAGTCTACGTCGGGCAATCTACGTGGTGCAATCTATGTGGCGCAATATAAGTGGTGCAGTTGATTTCAAAAACGAATTGACACATCCCATGCTCTTGCAATCGTCCCACCCACCCACCCGCAACTTGGTTTGCCAAACCCATACGGTGGCGATTGCGATGCATGTTTGGCGTTGGTTGGTGCGTTTTTGCGTCCGCGCCAACCCAAGCACGCGCGCGCAGCGGCCAGCTTGTTGGCGCGACCGACGCGGCCGCGGTGGCGCTGACCGCTGGGCGCATCGTAGCGGGCACTTCACTGCGAGTCGGCGATTTGGGCGGGCGCGGTATCATGGCAACGTCGACAACGGTAGACACGATGATGATAGTGACGATATTGGTGACGATGTTAACAAAGACGAACGCGCGGCCAATGCAGGTGCCGATGCTGATCACGGTGGCGGCGATGACGGCGTCTTCGCATCGGTAATGAAGGTTTTGGAAAGAGTTCGACATGCGCGCGCGGCCGACGCGCGAGAGTGGCCCGCATGATATTATTTGACACGGCTCGTGCCCCCCCAGCACGCGCGCAAGGGCGTGCGAATGATGTCGGCATGCGTCGCGAGGGGTTTGGCAGAAGTCTATGACACTGTTGAAAAAAACGATGGTTTCTTAAGATGTCGAAAGAGCGCGAACGCACGCTATTTTGAAAACTGATTCTTCGAAACCATGTAGAGGTGTATGTTTGTTTGGGGCACTCGTTTTTGAACACGTGCCGCACCCGAAGGTTTTTGCTGGATCTCGGCATGCGCGTGCGACGACGCGCGTGCGAGCACTTCGTTTGACGTTTTGCAAAAAGTTCTTGTCACGGCACGCGCGCAAGGGCGTTCAAACAATTTTGACATGCGCGCGCAAAGCCCGTTTGGTGGCATGTTTTGAACATGTTGAAAAAGTCCTGGTTGTTATTCAGAATTGGCAAGAGCGCGCGCCGACTTGTTTTGAACATCCGTGTTGCGAAACCAGGTGCTTTATATGTTTATGGGAAGCTCGATTTTTGAAATCCGTGCAACGCCGAAGGTGTTCGAAGGATGTTTGCATGCGCGCGCGACGACGCGCTCGTGCGCACTTCGTCCCATATATTGCAAGGGATTCGTGAACACTGATGATGTTTGATAAACGAATGCGCGTGCATAGTATGTTCTGCGGAGGATGGCGGGTGGGGGCGACACAGGTTGAGCGGCGATGTTACGAGTTCATATTTCGAGTGGACGATGGGGCAGAACATATGTAATTCGCAATACGCAACAGGGTATCGATAATCCTGGGGGGGAGTCGATCTTCTTCTTTGGCAAAAAGGAGAACCGGCACTGGTTCACTATATGTGTGGCGTAGTCTACCTGGTACCAGTGACGAATCCCTCGCGCGTGACCTCTCCCATGTTCGCGCAAACATCCCGCCCACCCAACTGCGCAAAAACGATGCGGCGGCGATTGTGAAGACTGCTTGTCGCTGGCTGGCCGACCGTTCCGGCCGCGCTGGCGAGCACAGGCTCGCACGCAAAGCGGCGACCTAGTCTGGCGCGACCGACGCGGCCGCGGCGTCGCTGACCGCTGGGCGTTTCCAGCGGGCACTTCATTCGAGTCGGTGCCCGAGTATCATGGCGACGCCGACATCTACAACACGATACTGATAGTACCGATGCTGGTGACAACAATAATGATGACGGCGGTCGGACCACATACCGCACCAGTGCTGATCACGCTGATGACTATCATGGTGTCCACGTGTCTGCGATTGAGGTTTTTGGAAGTTTTTTGGGTGGGGAGGAGGAGGAGGAAAGGGAGGAAGAGGAGGAGGAGGAGGAGGAAGAGGAGGAGGAGGAGGAGGAGGAGGCGGAGGAGGAGGAGGAGGAGGGGGAGGAGGAGGAAGAGGAGGAGGAGGAGGAGGAGGAGGATGAGGAAGAGGAGGAGGAGGAGTGGGGGAGGAGGAAGAGCGGGGAGAGAGACGGGGGAAGGAGAAGGAAGGAGGTGGTCGGGGGAGAGGAGGGAGAGGAGGAGGGGTAAGGGGGGGGGGGTCAGGATGTCGGAGTGAAGGAGGGCCAAGAGGACGGAGGAGGTCGGCGATAACCTTCGACGAGGATGGCCACGGAGAGAAGACGCCTAGCGCTTTCCTCGGGCCGCGGGCGCCCCGACGAGGCCGCGTCCTACCGCGTCGCTCCCCGCTTCGGGATGTGCTCCGTGTCGCACCTCACCGTGATCCACTGGTGGGGCGGGGCGCCCACGAAACCCGTGGCTTGGCGTCGTCGTCGTGTGCTGCCGTCGGCGTCGTCCGCCCCCGTTCGCCCCTGCCGAGCGTCGTCGACGGCCGTCGTGTCCTGCCTGTCCGGGGGCGCGTCTCGGGCCCCTGCGAATTCTCGAATGCCCGCAGGCCCCCTCCCAGCCCAGGAGCCAGCCGGGGGGGGGGGGAGCCCGGGAGGCCGCCCCTCGGGAGGGCTCTGCGGAGGCCGTACGTCCACGAGGCCTCCACGAGGCTCGAGTCCACGAGGCTCGAGCTTCGAGGCTCGAGGTTCGAGGAGGAGGAGGAGGAGGAGGAGGAGGAGGAGGAGGAGGAGGAGGAGGAGGAGGAGGGGGGGAGGAGGAGAGGAGAGAGGAGAGGAGGAGGAGGAGGAGGAGGAGGAGGGAGGAGGAGGACGAGGAGGAGGAGGAGGGGAGGAGGAGGGGGAGGAGGAGGAGGAGAGAGGAGGAGGAGGAGGAGGAGGAGGAGGAAAGGAAAGGTGTTCCGATACTGCCTCCCTGGCCTCTTCGCGAAGGCTGGATTCGCCTGGATTCCCTCCATGTTGGTCTGAACGCATCCCTACGTGGGCGCTGCCAGCTGCGCAACTGCTGCCACTTTCGTGAGCTCTCTGGACCGAGTAATCCTTCAGCGTCGTATCATATAGCTTTTGTTGGACGCCCAATGCGTAGTTTCGCCCTGTAGCTCGCAGACGGAACATCGCGCCTTTTGAAATTTTCCTTTGTCTTGGGTGAGCTCCTCGATGATGCCAGTTGTTGCACATGGGGTGGGTACGTCCCTGGGTAGGTTGAAGTTGCCACTGTCTGGCGAGTGCAGCCAGTCCGAGTCCGCATCTTGAGTTGCCGGGCGCGCCCTGGTTGGATGTCCTCTAATTGGCGCCTGTCAGAGGCGTGTAGCGCACGTGGCGGTGGATTTCCACCGAAGGAGAAGGGGGAGGATGAGGAGGATGAGGATAATGATAATGATGATGATGATGATGATGATGATGATGATGATGATGATGATGATGATGAAGATGAAGATGAAGATGATGATGATGATGATGATGATGATGATGATGATGATGATGATGATGATGATGATGATGACGGCGACGACGTCGACGACGACGGTGATGATGATGATGGTGGCTGTGATTTATGATGATGATAAATGCTGATAGTGGTGGTGGTGATGATGATGATGAGGAGGAGGAGCCCGTGATTCGAGTTTCGAGGTTCGAGGAGCAGACGGAGGACAGGTGTTTTTTCCCCAAGCGGTCGAGGTTCTCATATTTTTGGTCCGGGCAAGTTTAAGTCGGGCGTGTCCCTCTACAGGATGCATACTTCAGGATAAACAGCAAAATCGTATGGGGACGAACTTTCCATGATTTTTCAATTCGTCTCGACCATGTTTACTTATTTTTGGCCTAAGGGTAAGTCGGATATTACCAGCCTCGAACGTATCCCTATCCCTAAGATTGACACGCCAAAAGGCGATGACAATCTTAGGGATTCGCCCTCGAAAAAAAGGAAATCCCTAAGATTGACATCGTGATGAGGAGGTGCCCAGCATAGGGATAGGGATATGGTCCAGGCTGGTAAGGAGAGGCCCTTCAGGCTGTTTCGCCCTTTCGCCCGCCCGCGGGCGCCCCGTGGGCGCCCTCGGTCAGGCAGGGCTCCCCGGGCTTTCCCCCCAGTGCTCGTCGGGTGCCCGCCCCGCGGGCGCCGCGTGCCCGCCCCGTTGGGCGCCTCGTGGGCGTCCCGCGCCGCGCTGCCGCGCCGCCTGCGCCACCCCCTCCTCCTCCACCCCCTCCTCCCCCTACCCCTCCCCCTCCCCTCCTCCTTCTCCCCCTCCTCCTCCTCGTCCTCCTCCTTTTCCTCCTCCTCCTCCTCCTCCTCCTCCTCCTCCTCCTCCTCCTCCTCCTCCTCCTCCTCCTCCTCCCCCTCCTCCTCCTTCTCCTTCTCCTCTCCTCCTCCTCTCCTCCTCCCTCCTCCTCCCCCTCCTCCCCCTCTCCTCCTCCGCCCTCCTCGCCTCCTCCTCCTCCCTCCTCCTCCTCTGCTCCTCCTGCTCCTCCTCCTCCCCCCCTCCTCCTTCCACTCCTCCTAGGCCTTTCGGGGTTTGGAGCGACCCAGGTGCCTTAGGTCACTCCCAACACACTGCACATGCCCAGGCAGTGTTTTTCCTTTCGTTGACACCGTCAAATGGCTATCCTATCACCTATCCAATCTTCTTCCTCCTCCTCCTCCTCCTCCTCCTCCTCCTCCTCCACCTTCTCCTCCTCTCCTCCTCACCCTCCTCCTCCCCCTCCCCCTCCCCCCCTCGGCTCCCCAGAGGAGCCGAGAGGGACGCAGGCCGCATGGCAGCCAAGCCCAAGCCGAAGGGCGAAGCCGAACCGAGAGGAGCCAGGGCACTGCACTTGGTGCCACACAGCTGGCACTTCGCAGGCCCACCACGTAACAAGCGCAACAGACACTGCGCACAAGTGGCTTGCAGCACGCAGCTTGCACGGTATGTGTTGCACCGCAGGCATTGGAGTTCACAGCTCGTCAGTGGCAAGTTCTCATTACAACGCCTAGCTTGCACCACAGCGCCAGCTGCCCCGTTCCCTATACCACATACGCATCACCACAAAGCTGGGGCTCCCAACACCTAGCCTACACCACAAGCTTACACCGCATACTTGGCACCTGTACTTGTGCACGATGTTGCGCCACATCGACTGCACATCGAGAACGCAATGGCGTAGCGTTTAGGGCTCACAGTGGCCGCGATTGTCTTGCGTTCGGGATCTTCCTGTGGCTCTCAGGGCCCTTCCCTCCTGGAGGCTTCCTGGGGCCTTTCTGGAGGTTGTTCGAAAGTTCCTCCTCCGTCGTCGTGCCAGAGGTTCCAGAATCGAGGTTGAAGGCATGAGGGCAGCGATGGGATCAAGAAGATCGAGGAGGGTCGAGGAGATCGAGGGGATCAATGGGAGCTTGCGAGGGCCGGGAAGCCGAGGAAATCCAGTGAATCGAGGAGTCCAAGGGCGGTCACGGGATCGAGGACGCCGAGGAGATCGAGGGGATCGGTGGGGATCGATGAGATCGAGGTTTTGCATGATATTCGTCCTCTTCGGGCGTCAGGGCGCCTCCAGAGACCTCAAGGGGCCTGAGGGGACCTCTGAGGACCATCACCGCGAACATCATCATCACCATCGCCAGCATCAGTTTCAGTATCAGCATCATCATCATCATCAGCTGCATCATCAGCATCATCATCATCATCAGCATCATCATCAGCAGCATCATCATCATCCGCATCGTCATGATCAGCATCGGCATCGTCACCATCGTCAGCATCATCGTCATCACCATCGTAACCATATTCCTCATCCTCAGCATCATCATCATCAGCATCATCATCATCATCATCATCATCATCAGCATCATCATCATCATCGTCATCTTCATCATCATCATCATCATCATCATCATCATCATCATCATCATCATCATCATCATCGCCACCAGCAGCATCAGCAGCAGCATCATCAGCTGCATCATCAGCGCGATCCGCACCAACAACACCCTTAGCATCATCAGCAGCATTCGCATCGTCGTTCGCATCGTCATCATCATCATCAGCAACATCATCAGGATCATCATCGTAACCACCATCAGCATCATACTTAGCAACACCATCATCAACCACATCATCATCATGGTCATGTTTGTCATCCTCATCATCAGCAGCATCAGCATCAGCACTTCCATCACCATCACCATCATCAGCAGGATCATCATCATCAGCAGCATCACCATCGTCGTCGTCATCATCACCATCATCATCATCATCATCATCAGCATCATCATCATCATCATCAGCAGCATCAGCATCTTCTCCATCCCCAGACCCCTCGCGGCTTGACCAGCTCAAGTCGGACGCGGTTGCTTCGTAATTGTTGTCTCGAAAGATGGGGGGGATTTCGGGCACAGACAGTCCCATATAGATTTTGGGACGAATCGTTGCCCCACTAGCGGTAGGCATGCAGGAGGGAAGAACGGCTCGAGGAGTGGAGGAGGAGGAGGAGGTGAGGAGGAGAAGGAGGAGGAAGAGGAGGAGGAGGAGAAGGAGGTTCAGGAGGTTCAGGAGGAGGGCGAGGAGGAGGAGGAGGAGGAGAAGGAAGAGGAGGAGGAGGAGAGGAGGAGGCGCGGAGGAGGAGGAGGAGGAGGGAGGAGGAGGAGGCGGTGGAGGAGGAGGAGGAGGAGGAGGAGGAGGAAGGGAGGAACATAAGGAGCAGGAGAAGGAGATTAAGCATGGGGCGGAAGGTGACGACAGGAGAGGACAGGAAGGAGGCGGAGGTTGAGGAGGAGGAGGAGGAGGAGGAGGAGGAGGAGGAGGAGGAGGAGGAGAGTGGCGGAGGATGAAGTAGACGAGGGGGAGAAGGAGAAACCACAATAATAGCAGCACCAGAACTGAGGAGGAGGGCGGTGAAGTGGAGCGGGGGGGATATGGAGGGAATTCTAAGACAAGAAGGACCGCAGGCGGAAAGGAGGAGAAGTGTTTTCTTCGTATCCTCCTGTTGCTGGGGGGAACTTGAGATGATGCTGACGGCGAGGAAGATAGCGAGGGCAGCGTCGACAACGACAACGACAACCACGGAGGCAGCGATAGCGGAAGCACAGCGACGGAGGCATTGAGCATTGACAGTCGGTTTGCTAGTGGCTCGATGCAGACGGGGCATCGCCGTTGAGTGAGTACTTTGAGGAGAGGAATGATGATGATGATTTGCCTTCTTTGGCCTCCGCCAGGACTAAGACCCTCGTCGCCATGATTGTATTTGCCTCGAGCTTGCTCCAGAGTGCTTCAGGATCGTCGCCAGGGTTGGCGATCTTGGGGGGGAGGCGCTTGACATCCGGGCGTCGCGGAAAAGCACGTCACGCGTTTTTGCTCTGACCTGGGTGGGCTACGGGATTTTCGCGGACCGATCCGACTCGATGCGTTACTCATTACGCGTGGGTAGACACTTGTTGTCGGGTGTGCTTTAGTCCCTACGACGTTGGGGTTTGGTTGGTGGTTGGTTTAACCTTCTCGGCGGAAATTTGCCGGATGCTTGCAAGTCAGGCAGGGGCGGCTCCGCTGGGGCAAGCCGGCGGAAGCTTGGCGAGAGCCAGCGGAAGTCAAAGCAAAGCCCCCGAGATTGGTCAGTGCGCACGCCATCAGGGTTCTCAGAATTGGCCAGAGAGTATTATCAAAAGGGTTGCACAGTACCGCAGCATTAAAAACATGATCCTCCTGCTCTTCGCCTCCTTCCTCCCGGCCCCTTGTCTTCCTTCTGCTCCCTACGTCTCCCTCATCATCCGTCTCCCCCCCCCCCTCCTGATCATCCCTCCTCTTCCTGCTCGTCCAGCTCGTTCTGCACCCCCCCTCCGCCTTCCTCGCCTGTTCGTCTTAATTATCCAGCTCCTCCGCTTCCCCTCTTCCCCATACACATTACCATCTCCTCTTCCCCTCTGCCCCCCTCCTCCTCTTGTTCCTCCCCCTCCTGCCAGTCTCCCCGTCCTCGTCCACCTTGTTCGCCTCCTCCCCAGCCCTCCAGCTCTGCCTCTGTTCTTCCTTCCCCGTTTTCTCCCTCCCCGCCCCATCCCGCCCGTTGTCCCCCTCCCCCCCTCCTCCCTCTCCTCCTCCTCCTCCTCCTCCTCCTCCTCCTCCTCCTCCTCCTCCTCCTCCTCCTCCTCCTCCTCCTCCTCCTCCTCCTCCCCCGCCTTCTTCACCTCCTCTTGTTTTTCCTCCTCCTGCACCTAGCCCCACCGGGCGTAGCACAACGACGCTAATCATCAGCGCGGCGTGTGCGTTTCCATCGGTGGAGATTGGAACACCCTTTCGTAAGCCACAAGCTGGGGGGAAATGCGAATCCCCCTCCTCCGCCCATCTTGTTTCGCCCCCCCCCACCCGCTTGTCCCGCCGCGCCGACGACAACGGAGACAACGACGACGACGACGACGACGACGACGACGACGACGACGGACGACGACGACGTCGAAGATAACGACGACGTCGACGACGACGACGACAGACCACGACGACGATAACGACGACGATGACGACGACGACGACGACGACGACGACGACGACGACGACGACGACGACGACGACGGACGACGGACGACGACGACGACGACGACGACGACCGACGACCGACGACCGACGACCGACGACCGACGACCGACGACCGTCGACCGTCGACGACCGACGACCGACGACCGACGACCGACGACGACGACGACGACGTCGACGACGACGACGACGACGACGACGTCTTTGGTCCATCCCAGGCACTGCCACCAGAGCGCCACCCGCGCGGCGGCCGACATGCGCAAGCCGCAGGGGGAGTGGGAGTCGGCGACGGTGCCCACGCGTCGTTGGCGTCGGGCGGCAGCGTCGGCGCCGTCGCCGTCGCCGTCGCCGTCGTTGTCGCTGTCGTCGACGTCGTCGTCGTCGTTGTCGTCTGTCGCCGTCGTCGACGTCGTCGTCGTCGTCGTCGACGTCGTCGACGTCGTCGACGCCGTCGTCCGTCGTCGTCGTCGTCGTCGTCGCCGCCGTCGTTGTCGCCAACGCCGTCGCCGTCGCCGGCGTGACGGGAGATGCAGCTGGGGGAGGGGAAAGAAGAGGGCCGAGGAGGACAACCAGACACCCTGCGGATGTTTTTCTGTTCCATCCGTGTGCTTCTTGTCGACTTCGGCCTGGGGGGCGGGGGAATTCTCGGGCCTCGGGACCAACACACGTGGATCTGGGGCGAAGAACTACCCTTTGGGACGGGGTCGAGACCTCGACGGCCTGCGGGTTGAAGATAACAATCCATCGGATGTCTGAAGGAGGAGGAGGAGAAGGAGCGAGGCAGAGGAGGACAAAGAGGAAGGAGGAGGTTCGAGGACTCTGTGCCTGGTGTTTTGTTGGGTTTGCCTGCCTTTGGGGGGGCCTCCAGGAGCCTCTCGGGGAACCTCTGGAGACCTCTTGATGCCCAGACCCCTGGCAATTCGGCCACAGGCCGCCCAGCCCGTTTGCTTTGCAGTGCTCGACGTCTGGCAGCCGCTTCTGGGCCCAGGGAGCCCTCAGCTGGCGCCACCTCCATATGTGCGCGCCGCCCAGGGTGCTGCCCCGCCATGCTCCAGTGGCTGTCGCTGGCCGCCGGCGGCGGCTGGTGCCGCACCGAGGTCGGGGGCAACGCTGGGGGCCGGCGGTTCACAGTGGACAGGGCCCTGGGGGATGGGGCGGGCCCTCAGGACGAGGCGATGCCCCAACGGCAGCGCCAGGCTTACGTCGGGCATGTCCCTCTACAGGGGGAATATTCAAAAATAGTCAAGGCAGGGGAGGCTGTGTTGAGCATTTTTTGGCCACGTGTGAGCTTTTTTGAAATATTCGTGCCCCAGATCCCCCTGTAGGGGGACATGCCCGACCAAACGCTAGGGTGGGCCCCCTCCCTCAGGACACCACCTTGGGGAGCTGCCCAGGGGGGCACCGCATCGACTCCCCATCGCACACTCCTCGCCGGCAGGGGCCTGAAGGCCCTCGCTTAAGTCGGGCGTGTCCCTCTGCAGGAGGAACATTCAAAAGTTCTATTAAACAATAATCAGGGGACGATGCTTTTTTGTTTAAAAAAATGTTTGGCACTTGCTGAGTATGTTTTAGAAAATGGATCATTTTCGTCCAGAGTCCGCCTGTATGGGGGACATGCCCGACCTAAGCCTACGCAGGAACGTGCGGTTTCGCTACCAGGGGCCTGCATCGCCGATGTATCGCCGATTCCAGATCGACGCTTACCCCCCTTAGCCGGTACCCCCTCACCCCCGAGGTCTTGATTTTTGCATGACGTGGCCACCAGAGGTCTGGACCCCTCACCGGGGACCGGCTTTGTCTCCCGAGTCGTGCTTTGACGGTCCCGAGGCCTGGTGGGGGCCCGCAGGGGCCGAGGAGCCTACCGGAAGAGCCGACCCTCGTGATCTTGTCCGCGACGCGAGGGGGTCTGTGGGCCCCTGGCGTTCCCCCTCTCGCGAGGGATGCGCGGAGGTCGACTGCGCCGGAGCCAGCGGCGCGCTGGCCGAGGGCCAGGAGCCGGTGCTGTCGAGCTGCTACGACGAGATGCCCGTGGAGCTGCCCTCGGCCGAGAGGCGCCCGGAGGGCCTCCGGGGCAGTCCTGGGGCCCAGGCCTCCAACGTATAGCCAGGCACCCGGGGCCTTCGAAGCTTCGAGGCTGGAGGGCGCTTTCCCAAGAGAGCCGATGTCGCGACCTGTTCCGTGCGGGGTCCCCGGAAGTCTCGGGCCCCTCCCTGGGACTTAATTTTTGTTTCATCGTGAGTGCTCCTTGACGGTCCTGGGGCCCGGCGAGGGCCGCTGGAGGCCGAAAATTGTGAAATAAATGCCTCCGTCTTGATTGTGTCAATGCCCAGACCCCCGACGTCATGATTTGTGTCATGACGTCGACCCCCACAGGTCTCGACCCATTCCCCGGGACCGGTTTTTCATCCTGAGTCGTCTTTTGACGGTCCCGAGGGTCGGTAAGGGTTCCCAGAGGCCAAAAATAGCGAAAAACTGAACGCCTTTATTTTTATGATAACTCGAGGGGATCTGGGTACGGTGGATCTCTGGGTCTCTGGTTCTGGACGGCGTTTGAGTCGCGGGGGTTGCCTTCCAGCGGCGGCGACTCGCCGAGCGGATCGTCCCGGGGCTGCCATGGATCGTCCCGAACGGCCGCCGCCGCCGTTCTGCCGGAGGCGCGAGGTGAAGGCCCGAGAGCTTTCCCAGAGGTCCCCAGGCATCGGGCGTACTTCGAGAATCAAGACGGAGGTTTTTCGCCGTTTTTGGCTTCTCGGGGCCCCCACCGGGCCTCGGGACCGTCAGAAAGCGACTCGGGATGAAAAGCTGGTCCTGGGGAGGTGGTCGAGAGATCGGGGGCCCGCGTCTCGACAAAAATCGCGACGCCGGGTGTCTGGGGTCTTGGCGTCGCGAGACTCGGGGCTTCGCCTGAGATCCTGGCGTCCCGGGCGATTTTCGGCGGCGAGCGAGGAGGGGGGGTGAGAAGGAGAAGGCCTTCACAGACAGAAGGCGGCAGGGCTTCTCAGAAGCCCTCGCGCCTTCTGAGAGGTTTTTGTCGCATCTGCGGGGAGGGCTTCGAAAACTTCTCAGAAGGCTGGTGCACTTCCGAGCCTTCTGAGAAGGCCCGCCCATTCTCGCTTCCCCCCCGGGCGCACCGCCTAGAGTTGTCCACCCCAATCCCCGAACTCCGCACAAAAGCCTGGCCGCGCAGAGAAGTCTGGGACACTCGGGGATGCACCCTTGGGAGGCTCGTTGGGCGTACCCGTCATCGAGGATGGACGCCCCCTCTTCGTAGATCCCTGAGTTTGGCTTCAAATTGTGAGGCCACTCGGAACCCGGCAGAGTCGGGGATTGGGGGCCGCCACGCTGTCCACTACTGGCGTCGGATTGTTGTTTACACCGCGCGTTTTCGCTCGGCTTCGGGCCCTGGGACCATCACAGATCGATCCCGCTCGAACGCTGCAGCAGAACGATAGGATCTAGGGCTCCAGTCGTGATTTGTCGCGGCGTCGCATTTTCCCAACGTCGCATCTGAGGGGACCCTGGGGGCTGGAGCTCCCTAGCTGTGGGGCCACGAGGGGCGCGCCGAAACGGGCTGGGGGGTGCTCTATACGACACTACCCCCTGAGGGCTTCGGTGGAGCGTCCTTTGGGACCCCGAAGCATGTGAGGATTATACCGGGATGGCTTGGGGGACGCTATGCGGTACCAGCCTTTGGGGGTCTCGTTGGAGTGTCCTATCGGGCCACGAAACGCGCGAGGAGTGTTCCGAGACGGGCTGAGGGACGCTATGCGGTACCCAGAATCCTCCGCCCCGTGACAAGTCACGGCGAGGGTTTTTGCACGTGTTCTGCATCTTGGGGCCCTGGGGCCGTCAGACAGACGGCGTTGTACATTACTCTCAGGCAAATTTACGTTGACTTGCATGGGCTTCCCTTTCCGCCGCCTTTCCTTTCCGCCGCCGCCGTTTAGGACAGCGCCTGGCCGAAGAGGCGTGCAAGCGCGACTCGACCGGCGTGGGGTCCAGATGCCCGTTCGGGCCTTTTCCGCGCCCCCCCTCCCCCAATCCATACGACAAGAGTTCCACTGGAATGGCACGTTTCTCGATTTCGGCGTCTGGAGTGATCGCCCTCAGCATGAGTCGATATGGGGTTGCAGCCGCCCAAACCGCTGCGAGCATGCAGGAGAACGGACTGGCACGGGCACGTGCAGCAGTGGCGCAAGCGGCCGAGGTGGCCCCTCTCACTCCTATCCGCGTCTGCGGGGGCGGTGTGGGTGTGCGGCCGCGACGACTGCAGAAGGGGCAGCTCGGGCTCGGCAGGGGCCCGCGGTTCCTCGGGCCCTTCCCTGGCTGTTCCCCCAGCGCTCCTCGCGCACCCGGCGGCCCTTCGGGGCTGATCAGGAGGCGCTGCTCCTGACGTAGCGCTCCCTCTGGTTTCGGAGCGGCTCCATCTTGCGCTCGAAGTTTTGGTCCAGTCCGTGGCCGCAGCAATCTCGCCCACCACCCCCCTCAGGGGGGGGAGTCTCTCGTCTCCTCCTCCTCCTCCTCCTCCTCCTCCTCCTCCTCCTCCTCCTCCTCCTCCTCCTCCTCCTCCTCCTCTTCCTTCCTTCTCCTCCTCCTCCTCCTCCTCCTCGTCTCATCGTATTGCCCCCCCGCACCAGGAGCGAGCCCGCCGCCCGCTTCCAGGCGGGGGCCCTGGAGGAGCCGCCGGGCCCGCCGCTGCGGAGCGCCAGCATGTTCCTGCTGCAGCCCGGGAGCCGCATGAGGCAGCCAGGGGGCGCCCGATGTTCGGCTGCGCGAAGCAGTGACCTCTCGCCAGATCGGGGGCGGCAAAGAGGGTGTGATGACTAGGGGGGGGTGGATGTCATGGCGGGGGCCATGATATTTCCCCAGATTTTATGGCGCCTCTTCTTATTTCATTGCGTCCCTGGCCCCCCCGCTGGGCCGCGCACATGCCGCCGGTCATGATTTGCACCCCCCCCTCTTGGACACCCCCCGCTTGGCCGCTCCCGATGTTCGGCTACGCGAAGCAGTGACCTCTCGCCAGAGCGACCTTAGCTGCGGGCCCACAGGGGTCCCACCAGCAAGGTCCGGCGCACTTGGGTTGCCTGGACCTGGCTTCCGCGGCCTGCCGAAGCCGCGCGTCAGAGGGGTCACTCTTGCCCAGGGTCGCCCTTTTCGTGCATCGGAGATGTATACACCACGTCGTTTGGTCGGCCAGGGAGCCAAGGAGTTCGGTGTACAGACGCTCCAGCTTCGGGCGTCTGCACACCGGGCTCAGTGGCCGACTAAACGACGCAGTGTGTACATCGAGCCCCTCCCAGGCAGGTGCGCGTGCATCTACACTGCAGCGGCTTGGCCCTGGAGCCAGTCAGCGCCAGCAGCGACGAGCCCAGCGCGCCCAGGGAGTCCAGGGCCCTGTCGCCGCTGTGCGAGAGCTGCATGTTTTTGGCAGCCGAATTCGGATTCAAAAGTCCGCGTGGTTTGGGATGGCGAGGTCGAGTTCGGACAGCAATGGGCGACTGCGTGTTTTGCGAAGTCGAGTCCGGTGCTTAAGAACACGTAGTCCTTTCAGGTCCGAAGGTTTACGTTCCCCACTCAACAGATTTAAGGCTTTTAGTTCTACGACCTGCCTCGCCCTCCCTGCGACCGCCAGGCCCCCGATAGTCCCGGCGACCTGCGAGTATCCCACCTCGCTCACCTTGCATGCCGAAGCCGCCAGATAAAGGTCGAGGTATAAGACCGAGGTGTGAGATCGAGGTCGGTTCGGGGAGGGTACCCCAATGGTTTTCGCGTTTGTTGGATGCTCTGATGCATCCTGGGGAGGGTACCCTTGGATGGTCTGTGCGTCTTCGCCAGCGGAGGGTCTCGCGCTCGTGAGGGATGCTCTTCTGCCATGGGTCCGACTGTGGTCCGGGTGATGCCTACCGAGGCTGCCCGGCCCCAACCGCCCAGGCGATCCAACGGGTCTCCCGCTCCCTCTGCCCTGCACTCTGAGACCGCCAGGCCCCCGGCGGTCCGGGGCAATCCCTGGAAATCCCGCCTCGCCCGCCCTTTTCATGCCTTGGCCGCCAGGCCCCAACTGGTCCAGGTGATCCCTAGAGCACAGAGGTCCGATGTCGTGATTTTTTCCCTGCGGGGCCCCCGGAAGCCTCGACCCATTCCCCAGGACCGGTTTTGCACCCCGAGTCGTTTTTTTGCGGTCCCGAGGGCCAGTACGGGCCCCTAGAAGCCGAAAGTAGCGAAGACCCTCCCGTCGTGTTTTTTTCATGACCCGAGGGGGTCTGGGTAGGAATCCCGCCTCGCCCGCTCGGCGCACCGCGGCCGCCAGGCCCGACCCGTCCGGGTGGTCCCCGTGGGCCCCCCGCCTCGCTGAGGTCGGGCGTGAGTCCCGCTGCAGGAGGGATATCCAAGATTAGTTGACAAAAATAGTCAGGGGACGATTTTTCCTATATTTTCCCATATCTCTGCGCATTGTTGGACATGATAAGTTTTCCTCCAAAATACCGCCTCGCCCGCCCGGCACACCGCGGCCGCCAGGCCCTACCATTGAGTCGGGCGTGTCCCTCTACAGGAAGACGATTATACTACTATGTTTGATCATTGTTGCGGGATCTTTTAAAATGGTAGACTTTTCCTCCAAAATCCGCCTGTAGGGGGACGTGCCCGACCTAACGTCTCGCCTGCCCCGCAGGCCGACATAGCCGGGTGGTCCCAGGGTGTCCCGCCTCTCCCGCCCTTGCACACCACGGCCGCCACGCGCCAGATGGAGGGAGGAGGGAGGGAGGGAGGGGAGGAGGGAGGAGGAGGACGGAGGGATGTGGAGGGAGGAGGAGGAGGAGGAGAAGGAGGAGGGAGGAGGGTGGAGGAGGAGAGCAAGAGGGGAGGGAGGGAGGGAGGGAGGGAGGGAGGGAGGGAGGAGGAGGAGGGGAGGTGAGGGAGGGAGAGGAGAGGGAGGGAGGGAAGGGAGGGAGGAGGGGAGGGCGAGGAGGAGCAGGAGAGGAGGAGGAGGGAGGAGGAGGAGGAGGAGAGAGAGAGACAGGAGGAGCGAGGAGGAGGAGGGAGGAGCGAGGAGGAGAAGGAGGAGGAGCGCGAGCAAGCTTTATAGAACAGGAGTGACTCACAGGCGGGCTCCACCGGGGAGGCGCGGCGCGCCGTCCTGGCAATCAGGACGGCGCGCCGGCCGCAGACCGCCTGTGGCAGGCAGAAAGAGCATGCGCTAAGGGGTCGCCCCAGGTCGCGAGCTTCTCCTCTCTCCTCCTCCTCCCTCCTCCCTCCTCCTTCCCCCCCTCCTCTCCTCCTCCTCCCTCCTCCTCCTCCTCTCCCTCTTCCTCCCCCTCCTCCTCTCCTCCTCCCCCTCCTCCTCCTCCTCCTCCCTCCTCCTCCTCCTCCTCCTCCTCCTCCTCTTCCTCCACCTCCCCCTGTTCCGCCTCCTGAGTGCGAGACAGGAGGAGGATCAGGCTGTCGCACGAGTATCAGAATTCAGGACATACACCCATTCAAGAACGCACGCCGATGGCACACGCACACACACACACACACACACACACACACACACCAGGAATCAGCATCGAGAGTCGGTATCAAGAACATCCACACATGGTGTAAGGACGAACCAGACTGGCACATATCAGCCTATACACGAATGACATACGCATACAAGCCATGCCCCAAGACAACACAACCATAGCACACACACACACGGACACACACGCACACGCACACGCACACGCACACGCACACGCACACGCACACGCACACACACACACACACACACACACGCGGACACCGCGCGCGCACGCACACGCACACGCACACGCACACACGCACACACGCACACACGCACACACGCACACACGCACACACGCACACACGCACACACGCACACACGCACACACGCACACACGCACACACGCACACACGCACACACGCACACACGCACACACGCACACACGCACACACGCACACACGCACACACGCACACACGCACGCACGCACGCACGCACGCACACACATACACACATACACACATACACACATACACACATACACACATACACGCACCAATAGCACACACACACACACACCATTGCCAGAATAGCAGACATCAGTACCAGTCGCCTACAGCACACCCCAGACATTTACGTCAACAACAGACTCCCAGAACAGACATCAATAATCGAGTGGCCTTCGGACTATCCTGCCACCTCGCCTGGCATGCAGCTCAGTGGCTTCTTGGGGGTGTCTTGGGAGGCCTCTCGGGCCTCCCGTAGGCGGTTGTGTGATGTCTTGGGGCCTCGTGGATGCCTTCCCTGGAGACTCTTTGGGGCATTTGGGGGGCCTCCTGGGGCTTCTGGGGGGCTTCTTTGGGGGGGCCTGCTGGCGGTCTCGGAGGTCGTCATGGGGCGGCAGGCGCGAAACGGAAGTTCGAGCTCCCTTCTTGGAGCCTTTGCGGGGCTCCCTTGGGGCCGTCCGGGGAGGGATGAGGAGGAGGAGGAGGAGGAGGAAGAGGAGGAGGAGGAGGAGGAGGAGGAGGAGGATGAAGAGGAGGAGGAGGAGGAAAAGGAGAAGGAGGAGAAGGAGGAGGAGGAGGAAGCCGTCTTGGAGGCTTCTGAAGCTGCCTTAGGGGTCCTCTTGCGGCATCCGGGGGCACCCTCGAGGCCCCTTGGGCCTTCCTGGGGGCGATCCTGGGGCCTCTCGGACCGTCTTGGAGCGTCGGAAGCTCGGAAAGGCGAGAACGCTCAAATCGATCAAGAACATTTCGGGACAATCGATGTGCTGTACCTCTTGGGGCCCTCTTGGGAAGCCTCTTGGCGCCCTTTCGGGGCGTCTTGGGGGCCTCGTTCTTGGGCCGTTTCGGGGCCCTGTTGAACCGCCTCGAGGGCGGCATCATATGGGAGCCCCGTTGGCCTGTTTGGGGGCCCTCTTGCCTCCAGAAAGGTCTAGCGGCAATGCGCGGGGGCACGGGGCACGCCACAAGAAGTTCGTGAATCTCGGATCCGGCCCCCTGCATCCTCAGGACTGAGGACGGAAAGCTCAAGGAGCACGAGGACACTCCAATGCGTGACTCGTGGCGCGGAGGGGTCTCAGGGTTGGGTTTCTTCTGGAAGGTTTTTTTGTGGACTGGCCCCCACTGTATGCATCGAAGCATACGTCAAGCTCAGACACTAGGGAAGCATGTCAGGCAATCAATGCCAGGCATCAAGATCATACACCAGCAGCATACACCAATCACCGGCACCAGCCACGTACACCAAGCACTTGCGCCAAGCAAAGGCATTCAGAGCAGCCACCGCCAACATACACATAATTCATAATCACATACGCCAGCCACTTGCACCAGACATAGACATGCAGAGCAGCCACCAACAACTTACACATAATTCATACATATCAATAACGCACGCCACACACAACATACACAACACACACACACACACCACAACACACAACACACACACCACACACAAACAAACGACCACATACGTCAATATCAGACACTAGCACTTGTGCTAAACAAACGACGCCAAGATCATACATCAGGAACACATGCAAATCGTATACACCAAGAGCCGTCATTCAGGACAGACGCTGCTAACATGCATCTTAATATGATGAGTAAACTTGTGGGGATCGCTCGGAGCAAAATTATGTACGCTGTGCTTTCCTTTTGCTCTTCCGAGGAGTTCAGAGCCCTGTCGCCATTCTGCGTGACAGAGCAGCTCGAGGATCCGGAGATAAGCGATCAGTTGGGGAGGCCAGCGGGGGCCTTCAAGCTCACGGAGCTGCGCCAGGGCGGGGACGTCGTCCGCTTCTTCGGCCTGTGGGACGCGGACGACGCGCAAGATGAGCTCGACCGGTGGATCTGCGAGATTCAGCGTGTCACGGCCGAAATCACCTCCTCGATGTTCTCGGCGGTGGGGATCTCGCCGTGGCCGCTGCCTGACGTCGCTGCGACCTTCGCGCGCATCTTGGCAGGCCACCTGCTCGTCAGCGACGAAGGCGACACGATCGTGAGGTACTTCTGCGAGCTCAGGGCGCACTCCGAGGGCAAGGCTGCCCTGGTCATGTACTCCAACTGCTGGTGCGCGCAGGAGATCCGGGGCCTGCCGCTCGTGGCCGACACGTTCATCAGCCAGAGCAGGTGCGAGGGCTCGACCGTTTTCAGCGTGGGCAGCAAGCGGTTCAGCGCACAGAGTGGTCCCGAGAAGGACCTCTGGCTGCGCGCCATCATCAACACCAAGGCCCGTCATCGCGCACCAGGGGTAAAGAAGGATCGGGGCGGCGGCCCTTAGATGAAGCAGCCCTGCCTCGGAGAAGCCATCCCAGCCCTCGGAAAGGGCCTCTGGCAGACGCCTTTGACAGGGGGGCCCATCCCTTCCAAGATGCGCCCTGCCCTCGAACGGTCACCCCCCTCGCCGCACACTCTCGTGGGCACCGCCGCAAGAGCGACGAAACCAAAGGGGGCCCGCGCGTGCAAGGCTACCCCCCTGGAAGTCGCGCGCGGGCGCCGCCTTCCCCCTCGCGTTGTGCCGCGTGGGCGGCCCGCGGGCCACACAGGTCGCAGTGCCCTCTCGAGTTGTGAGCCCCGCTTGCGGCCCCCAGATGCGAACGGAGGTCCACGGAGGGCTCCCAGAGGCCCCCCGGAAGCACCCGCAGAGCGGGGCCCCCCGAGGCCCCAGAGATGCCAGGGGCAACAGGGCCCGAGAGCACCCGCAGCTGGAGGTGAAGCTGGCCCACGACGCGCCCGACCCGACCCAGCTGGAGCTAAGGCACTACCGGGAGGCCGTGCAGGAGCGCGCGCGCGCCCTCGGCTGCCTGCGGGCCCGCGCCCCCGACGGCCCCGCGCCGCCGCCGCGGCAGCCGCTGCTGCCGCGGTGCGGCGCGGCGGTGTCCTCGCCGCGGCAGGGCGCGGTCGGCCTGTCGGTGGAGGCCGCGGCCGCCGAGGCCGCCGGGGGCGCAGGTGCACTGGCGGCGACGGCGGAGGCGCCGGAGGCGGCGCTGGCGGCTTCTCTGGGTGGAGGCGGCGGCGGCGCCAGCGCCAGCGGCGGCGGCGGCGCCAGAGGCGCCAGCGGCGGCGGCGGCGCCAGAGGCGCCAGCGGCGGCGGCGGTGCCAGAGGCGCCAGCGGCGGCGGAGGCGCCAGAGGCACCAGCGGCGGCGCGGCGGCGGAGGCGCTGGAGGCGCCAATGGTGGCTCAGGAGGCGTTAATTAAGGGCGCGAGCCCGGGCCCCCCGAAAGAGTCGCAGGCGGCGTCGTCGTCGCCGTGGCGGGTTTCCTCCAGAGGGTGAGCTCGTCGCGCGGCGTGCAAACAAAGCCGTGTGGTCCAGAGTCGCGTCTTGCTGTCTCTTTCGCCCTTCACCTCCGCTGCCTCCTCCACATTATTTACTCATCTCCATTTCCAGTCCATCGCATTATTCTTATGTTCCTCAGCCTTGGCAGAGGGGCGCTGCAGCTTCTCCTCCACCCACCGCTTCAATCCCTCTTCCTTCTGAACAAGCCCTCCCTGTCTCAACACCAGACGCTCCGTTAGGGCGTGCCAGACGTCTCGTAGACTGGGAGCGCCAGCGCTTGCACGGATGGGTTCGCAGGTCGTTTGCAAAGTTCGGTTATCGCTTCGGCGTCCCCCCCACACACACACACACACACACACACACACACACACACACACACACACACACACACACACACACACACACACATGTTTGAACAACTCTCAGAAGGCAGACGGATGGAGGGGGTGTTTGCGACATGGAGTTCTCCTTGTGGCTCCGCGCACCTTCGCTTCAAACGATTGGAACATTTACATGGATGGAGGGCGGGCGGTTTCAAAAATAGGGCTCTCGCCTTAGTCTAGATAACTTAGCGCCGAGCGCATTCTTTTAAACAGCTTGCAACAGCTATAGGTCTGAAGATCACTTCGTTTTCAGGATGGGGCTCCCGCTTGAGACTTCTTCGAGTTATTTGACTCGCAGTTCAAGGTGGTTAACTTCTCACACTGGTAAAGGTGATGTTGCTGTTTGTGGGGCGCTCGGCTTCCTAAACTTCGAACCTGTGCCACGTTCACACGCGTGGATGGCAGACCCTTTTCAAAACGGATCTGTCATTTGAGGATCCTTTGATCTAAAAGCCCTACTCCGAGTTTCTTAATAAGCGTCGGGGGGGCGTCACCCCCACCGACAGCCCCACATCGACCCCCGTCGCGGGCAGCCACAGCGCGCCGAAGGCGCTCCGACTCCCGTCGCGGCGCGACGACGAGGCGAGGCTGACCCCCGTCGGGGGGGTACCCCCCCACGCTGATCAAGAAACACGGAGTACCTCGTTGACTTCCTTCTGACTGGATGGAAAGAGTCGACCGGGGGATCGACTGCAGAATTGATTCACCACACATTGATTTTCACGTGGACTCTTCATCAAAAATACGCCAACCGTCCGCAGATCTGCGAAAGCTCCACGGATTGCCCGTGGACCCGACCAGAGCAATCCATCCTGTGGCAAACCAGTTCCGCAAACGATCCCCTGCTCGAGAGGTGGAAGGCGGGTCCCTGTGCACACCACGGGGCGCCCCGTCTCGCCCGTGTGGCCGGCCCTCGCGGGGGGCGTTTTCGGCCTTCCGGGATGCCGCTCTGCCCACCGTGCCGCAGGAACGCGCGAGCGCGCCCGTGGAGGGCACCCCGTGCTCTCAAAGGGGGGGGGGGGGGGCCAGCTTCAAGCCACCCTCAATCTCCTCGATCCTCGATCCTCCTCGATCCCCTCCCTCACTCCTGGATCCTCCTGGATCCTCCTCGATCCTCCTCGATCCTCCTCGACCACCTCGAGTCGAGACAAAGGCCTCCCGGGGTGGCCTCCCGCGCGTCCGCCCCCCCCCCCTCCCCCTCCATCCTCTCTCCTCCCGCGGGGCCTCCCGCGGGGCCTCCAGGGGGGAAGGTTCAAAAATAGTAAAAAATAATCGGGGGACGATTTCCCGGACGATGCTGTGACGATTTTAGAACATTGCTGGACTATGTTTTATGGTTCGTCCCACACTCCGCCTGTAGGGGGACATGCCCGACCCAAAGCTACCCCCCCCTTCCCTTGGAAACGGGGGGGGGGGAGGAGCTTCCGAAGTGCCTCCCCCATCCTCCCTTCTTGTCGGCATCTTTTAGCTGGGGGGGCCCTCGCTTCAAAGGGGTGGGAGCTTGGAAGCTCTCCCCCCCCTTCCCTTTGCGGGGCCCGGGGTCAGCCCGGCCCCCCTTTTCCAAAAAGGGGTGTGTGTGGGCTTCGGAAGCTACCCACCCCTCGCTGTTTCTTTCATCTTGTAGCTCTTTCCAAAGGGGGGGGGGTGCTTCCGAAGCTACCCCCCCCTCCCCTCCTTCTGTTGGCATTTCGGGCTTGAGGGCGCTGGCTGAAGGGGGGGAAGCTTCGAAGCTACATTTCACCTTGGTTTTCGGCGCCCCTCTGGTTTTCGGCGCCCTTGTGGTTTTCGCATCTCTTTGGTTTTCGGCGCCCCCTCGGTTGTGGCGCCGTCTTGGCTTTTTTCGGCGCTCATTTGGTTTTCGGCGCCTCTGTTTGTTTTCCGCGCCCTTTTGGTGTTCGGCGCCCCTTCGGTTTTCGGCGCCCTGTTGGTTGTCGGAGCATCGTGGGTTTTCGGCGCCCCTTTGTTTTTTGGCGCCTCTTTGGTTTTCGGTGCCCTTCTGGTTTTCGGTGCTCCTTCGGTTATCGGCGCCCTTTTGGTTTTCGGCGCTCCTTCGGTTTTCGGCGCCCCTTTGGTCTTCGGCGCCTCTTTGGTGTTCGGCGACATTTGGCACACCTTTGGTTCTTTGCGCCCTTTGATTTCCGACGCCCTTTTGGTGTTCGGCGCTTTTGTGGTTCTCGGCGCGTCTTTGATTTTCGTTGCATGGTTAGTTTTCGGCACCCCCTTGGTTTTTGTTTTCGGCGCTTCTTTGGTTTTCGGTGCCCTGTTGGTTTTCGGCGCATATTCGGTGTTCGGCGCTCCTTCGGCTTTCGACGCTTTCATTTTCGGCGCCTGTTTGGTTGTCGGCGTTCCTTCGGTTATTGGCGCCCCTGTGGTGATTGGCGCCTCTTTGGTTGATCGGTGCCCGTTTGGTGTTCGTCACCCATTGGGTTTTCGTCGCCCCCTTGGTTTTCGGCGCCCTTTCGGTTTTCGGCGCCCTTTAGTTTTCCGTGCCCTGTTGGTTTTCGGGGCCCATTTGGTTTTCCGTGCCTCTTCGGTTTTCGGCGCCCTTGTGGTTCTCGCAGCTTCTTTTGGTTTCGGCGCTCGTTGAGTTTTCGGCGCCCTTTGGTTTTCGAAGCCCTTTTTTGGTTGTAGGCGCCATGTTGGTATTCGGCGACCCTCTCTGGTTGTCGGTGCCCCTTCGGTGTTCGGCGCCTCTTTGGTTTTCGGCAATCCTAGGGTCTTCGGCGCATCATTGGTTTGCGGCGTTCCTGTCGGTGTTCGGCCCCCCTTATGGTTGTTGGCACCTGTTCGTCGGCCCCTTTTTTCGGCGCCTATTGTTTTCGTTCGGCGCCCTTTTGGTTTTCGGCGATTCGTTGGTTTTCGGCGCTCCTTTGGTTTTCGGCGCCCCTTTGGTTTTCGGCGCTCATTTGCTGTTCGGCGCTCCTTTGGTGTTCGGCGCCCCTTTAGTTTTTGGCGCCGTCGTGGCCTGTTTCGGCGCTCGTTTGGTTTTTCGCGCCTTTTTATGTAGTCAACGCCCGTTTGGTTTGCGGCGCCCTGTTGGTTTTCGGCGCCCTGCTGGTTTTCGGCGCTCTGTTGGGTTTCGGCGCCGTTTTTTTGGTTTCGTCACACCCTTGACTTTCGGCGCTCCTTTGGCTTTCGGCGCTGTTTTTGTTTTCGGCGCCATCTGGGTTTTCGGCGTTCCTTTGATTATTGGCGCCCCTGTGGTTTTCGGCGCCCCTGTGGTTCTCGGCGCCTCGTTGGTTTTTGGCGCTCTGTTGGTTTTCGGCGCTCTTTTGGTTTTCGGCGCCCATTCCATCAGCCCAAGAAGGGGGGGAGGGGGGGGCTCTGCAGGGGGGGGGGTCAAAGTGGGGAGATAGCCAAGGCCCCCTTCTTTTTGGAAAGGGGTGGAGGTGGGGGGGGGCAGCTTCTTGAGCACGAAAGGGGAAAGGGGGGCAGCTTCCGCAGAGCGGAAGAAAGTTGGGGAGGGGTGGGGCTTCCAGGAGAGAGTGTTTAAAAGGGAGCGGGTAAGCTAAGCCGCCCTCCACTTGAAAGGGGGGAGGGGTAGCTTCCGGGGCGCGACAGGGGGGGGAGGGGGATGGGGTGGTGGCTAGCTCCCGAGGGACGGAACATGGTAACAGAAAGGATAGGGGGGGGGTTATAAGGGGGGGGGCTTCGGGCAGAGGGGGTCCAAAGGGGTGGGGAGCTAAGGGGAGGCCCTTCCCCCTTTGGGAGCGCTCCCACGGAGCGCTCTCTCAAAGGAGTACCCGTAGGGACATCTGAGGAGAGCGCTCGGGGCGGGCGGGTGTATTGCAGATTCGTGGATACATCTTGGATTTGCTCTGGTCCTCCTCCTGATCGTTAATGTCCTTCCTCTCCTCCTCTCCCCTGAGACTCCTTGCGCCTCCTCCGTCTCATCGTCATTCCCCCTCACTCCGCGCGTTTCTCCTCCTCATCGTCCGCATTCCTCCCCCCGTACCTCGATCCTCTCCCATCCCTCTTCTCTTCTTCATACTCCTGCCCCTCTCTCCCATCTACCTCATCATCCTTCTCCTCATGATCCTCATCCGCCGCGTGCCCTTCCTCCTCCTCCTCCTCCTGGTCCGTGTTCCCTTCCTCCTTTTTTATCGTACTGATTCATCATCACTCTTCTGCCCACTAGAACAGTCGACCTCGTTGTTCTTCCTTGGCGTACCCAGCTTCCCACTGCGCACCATGGTCAAGTTCGTCGTTCTTGCCCTCGTCTGCATCCGTGGCCTCTCTTCCTCCTTCCCTCTCCGCCCTTCTCACTCCACCCTGCCCTCCACCCCCTGCTTCTTGATCTTTCTTCCGTTCACACTTGAACCGCATATGAATACTGTGAATAGTGCTCTTCTTTCTCCTCTGGCTCTGTCCAGAGGAGTGGCGGGCCCTCGCCGCGTGCTGATTCTTTTTTTTTGGGGGGGGGGGGGGGGGGGGCGCGCAGGATCTCAGCACTTGATCTTACCTCACGGCTGCTTACAGTCCGATTGCGCTGTCGGTGCTCCAACGGGGTGCTCCCTCTGCAGCGTGGGCCTCATGTTCGGATCGGCACTTGGCTCCCGTCGTTCAGGGTGTCGCTCTCGCACCAGCGCGGGCCACTTTTGTTCTGGATCCGAGTCGCTCTTCCTCCTTGCCGCCCCCGTCACCTTCCCTTCCTCCGCCCTTCCCCGGTCCTCCTGATTCTTCCGCCCCTTCCACTCCAGTTCCTGCTGCTGCTGCTGCTGCTGCTGCTGCTGCTGCTGCTGTTCGTCCGCGTCCTTTTCCTCCCGCTCGTGCTCCTGCTCACCCGCCCCTGGGGGGGGAGAGGATTAGGAGAAAGAGGAGGAGGAGGAGGAGGAGGAGGAGGAGGAGGAGGAGGAGGAGGAGGAGGAGGAGGAGGAGGAGGAGGAGGAGGAGGAGAGGAGGCGAGGAGGAGGTGGCGGCACCCGCCACCTCCGCCCTCCTCTCCTCCTCCTCCTCCTCCTCCTCCTCCTCCTCCTCCTCCTCCTCCTCCCGGCGACGACGACGGCGGCGAGGGCGACGAAGACCCGCAGGTGCGGAACTCGTCCTCGAAGTGCAACGCGCGCGCCTCAGTCCGCCCGCCGCCCCCGGTCCGTCTCCCCTCCGGCGGCGGGCGAGGGCCGAGGGCCGCAGGGTCGAGCATCGAGGCTGTCGTGCGCGCGCAGTGGCCCTGGCCGCTGCGCCCAGACCCCCTCGAGTTATGAAAAAATCACGACGGGAGGTTCTGCATGATTTTTGGCCTCGGGGGGCCCTTGCCGGCCCTCGGGGCCGTCAAGAAAACGACTCAGGATGAAAAACCGGTCCCGGGGAATGGGTCCAGACCTCTGGGGGTCGACGCCATGAAAAAAGCATGGCGTCGAGGGTCTTTGGGCGGCGCGCTCGCACGCCTCGGCCGTCGGCGCATTCTCGAAGGCCCTCGTCGCTTCCTGGAGGCTCTCTCGCTGTGGGGTGCCTTCCAGCAGCTGCGCGCTGCCGAGAGCGCCCCCGAGAGTGCGGGGATCGTTCCGGACGGCCGCTGGCGGCCCGAGTCATGGCCCGGAAACGGCATCCCCGACCAGATGTTGGGCGTTGCTTAATGGGGGGGTCACAAATGGGGGGGTCAGAAAAGGTCCCCTTTCGGGCCCCTCCAGAGCCCCTCCGGAGCCCCAGGGGGCTCGTTTAGGTACCGTTTGGGTACCTTTTCGGACCACCCTCACCAACCCCCCATTTATGACCCCCCCATTACGCAACGCCCAAAGATGACCGTCGCCCGAGCCTCGCATTTGTCCTTCCATTCGGCCTTTGGGGTCCGTTGTCCGTCCCGGGGCCGTCATGAACGGGTCCATGGCGGAGAAGTGTCCCCGGCGAAGCGGTCGGGACCTCTGGGGCCGCACGTTGAAAGAAAGAAGCCACGCCGTCGGATGTCTGGGCTCCGGCGCGTCTCGCCCTCGGCGGAGAGCCAGCGAAAGTGAGACGGCGGCTGGCTCGCCAGCGGAAGGCTGGCGGGAGTCAACATCTCTGTGGTCAGGGGTCGTGGAGTTGGGCATGTGCTACCACCACTGCTGCTTCGGCTTCTGCTGCTACGACGACGGCGGCCACTTCTGCCGCCAACCTCGGGAGGCCCTCTCTGAGGCCCAGAAGGCCAGGAAACGCCCAAGAACTTCAATCCTCTTCCGACGACGACAACGACGGCGACGTCCGACGACCGACGTCGATGATGACGACCAGCGACGATGGACAAGGTCGATGGACGATGGCGACGACAGACGTCGATGGTCGACGACGACGACGACGGACATCGACGACGAGGACCGACGACGACGCCGACGACGACGCCGACGACTGACGACTGACGTCGATGGGCGACGACGGCGGACGACGGCCGGCGGTCAGAGGCCCTCGTGCCAGTGCTGGGCCCCTCGCTGCCGGACGCAGCGGCCTCGCGGGCGCTCGAGAGGCGCCCCGCGCCCTGTGCCGGACGCGGCAGCCGCGAGGCGCAACTCATGGAGCGTGTTTCTCTATTGCTTGGGGCATCATGGGCATTAGAGCCCCGGGTCCCCAGGCCCCCCCCCTCTCCCCCCCATATAACGTAACGCCCCTCCCCCCCCCCGGGCGCTCCGGGCACTGCCGCTGTGCGCATCGGGCGCACGGCGGGGGGGATGCGTTACTATACCCCCCTCCCCGGCCCCTCCCCCCCCTCATAATGCCCATCATCGCCAAAGATAAAGAAACGCGCTCGTGCCATCTTGCTGGCTCTTGCGAGTCGGCGCTGGCCGACGCCAGCCGACGCTACTCGGCGTCAGTCGGCGCTAATCGACTCTGATGCCGGTGCTGTCGCATCGATTGCCAGACGCGTGTGCGCGCTACTGCAGCCTAGAGTCCCAGAGATGGCATTTCGAGGACATGCAAGAGGCTCCCATGAGCTCCTCTCGAAGAGCCCCAAAAATTTCCGGGCTCCCCTAATCCTGGTGATGCGTTGTTTCCATCGAGTGCTTTCGTTCGCCGCCCCACGGAGACGACGACGGGGACGACGGTTACCCTGTGTTGTTTTTCAAGTGTTCGTCGGCCTTCGGAGTTCCTCGTCGGTTCCTGCAGGCTTTCTCGCCCTGGGATGCCTTCCAGCAGCTGCGCCTCGCCGTGGCAGGGTTCTGGGGTGGCCAGGATCGTCTCGAACGGTTGTTGGAGGCTTGAGGTATGTCCTACAAACCAGGTTTCTGGAGATAAGTTTTTCAATCCCGGCGTGCCCCCAGGGATGAAGCCACCTAGCACGGACCCTATCTCTGGCGCGCATGAAGTAGGTCTTTCATTACCCGTTTATCTTCTCATTCCCCTTCTCCCCACGCGAGCTTGAGTCGGTCCAGCACGATGGCCCAACAAAAAGGGAACATCGATTGCGTGGAGCAAGTGGAAGACGCCATGATGTGAGGTTGAATCGCACATTGGGTGTGATTGGCGAGGCGAATTGTACATTGTTTCTTCGTGTTTGTTCCTTATGTTTTCGTCGAGGTACCAGATCGACCCCGATTTCTCCATGTCCACAAAGACCGCTTTGAAGTGATCGAGCGCTGCTTCCTGCCAGAATCAGTCGGCACCCATCCAGGATGGGAAAAGCAGTTTCTGCGCCGTCAAGATGCGCTGCAATGTCGCCGCTTGCCTCTTCTGCTCCTGCCGGGGCACCAGTCGATGCATTGGCGCCCCGAGGCGTTTCGGAACACATTGCAAAAAAGGCTTGGAAGATGATGCCAATTCGGAACGCTCGAGCTGACCTTTGGCAGGGCAGAGCGCTCCTCGCTGCCGTCCAAGATTCAAGCCCGCTTCTGCGATTGAAATATGTATGTACGTGCATTGATAGGTTCATATAAATAAAACGGACGAGTCGCTTCAAGAAAATAGCAGCCGCCCGTGGACAGGCTCAGGGAAAAAAAAGGTAAGCAGCGCATACAAACGATTCGATTAAGTAAGTGGTAGAGCGGTCTGTAGATAAGTGGAATATTGACACGATTCCTGAGTGGCCGCCTGGGGCCACGTTCAAATTGGAGGGAGGGGCCGTTTGATGAGCTGGGGTGGGGAGATTTCCCCCCCCCCTGTTGCGGTCAAGAAGGGACCCCGGTTGTAGAAAACTGGAAGGGCGTCGTGATAGGGGGTGTGGCGCACCCCCTTCTGCGCGCCAGCGTTGCACGGAGGCGCCGGCTTTTTACCGCGTTTTGGCATGCGCACTTCGGCGCCGTGGTGAAGAAGGCGCCGCGTCGTTGGGGCATCCCCCTCGGCGGCCCAGTGCCTGGTTTGTGGAACAGGTAGCCAGATGTTCCCGCAACGCACGAAAAAATTGATATGCTAGCGCAAGTGCGCTGGCGGTGAGCAGCAAGTCACGTTTGGAGATTGTCGTGGAGAGTGCTCCTTGGAAACACAGGCGTGCGGAAAGCCTGTTGGACTTCGCTCCAGGCGGGCAGCTTTGAAACATGTCAAGGAGGGCTCTTGACTGTCCTTGGATGTCATTCAGCTCGTGTGCGAAGCTAGAGGCGCGCTGCTGCATCGCCGTGATACTCGTGGTTCGAGCAGTGTCGCGTTCCTGGGCAGGCTGCTGCCTGGCCACGGTGTGGCGTTTGCGTGGGTGCTCGTCTCCGCTCGGTGGGCTGCGCTGGTGCCGCTCGGGCACTTGCGCCCTGCTGGGTGGCACCAGGCCCGCAGTTCCAGTTCCCTGGTGGGGCGGGGGTCGGGACTGGTGGCAGGAGGAGGAGGAGGAGGAGGAGGAGGAGGAGGAGGAGGAGGAGGAGGTGGGGGTTGTGGTGTGCCCCCGTATTGGCCAGCTCTGTGGGTTGGGGCGACGGCGCTAGGCCGGTGTACGTCGGATTTGGTGCGAGGCCCTGACTGACGGCGCGTTCACGCAACAGCATTAGGTATTCCTTTTCTCTTTGGAAGTTGTCGGGGGGGATACCCCACGGATCGTCAAGGTCGTCATGGTACTTTGGCCCTGGCGGGCCTTGAAAGTGAGGTGGGTCACGGGATGAGCCTGGTGGTTCATCCCCCCGCCCCCTCTGGCGAGAGGGTTGGGCGAGAACGAAAGAGAGAGAGAGAGAGAGAACAATAAAGAAAGAAATAAAGAGAAAGAGAGAGAGAGAGAACAAAAAAAAGAAAGAGAGAGAGAGAGACATAACGAGGAAACGGGAGTGGGGGAGGAGCAGGCGGGAGGAGAGACAAGGGAGACTGGGAGGTCGAGGAGGGGTGGACGGTGAAGAACGTGGGGAGAAGGAGGAGGCAATGCGCGCAGAGCCTCTGTCTCCCTTGCTCTCTGCCTCCCTTTCTCTCTCTCTCTCTCTTTTTCCATCCGCGTTCCACGTTTCACCATCCACGGCCTGCCCAGTCAGTTTCTTGACTGCCCGCAGGGGGCCGCTCCCGGCAGGGAGTGGACGTCAGGCCTCTCTCTTTCTCTCTCCCTCTCTCCCTCCCTCTCTATCTCTCTCGTCGCCGCCGCCGACGCCGACGACGCCACCGTCGCCGTCGTCGCCACCGACGCCGCCGCCGGGGAGAAGCCCGGGAGGCACTTCGCGCACCTGGCGCAGCTGGCCAAGGGCCACTCGCAGTCGGCGCCTCCGCGCGGGCGCGCGCGGGCCTGGCGCGCGCGGGGCGGCCGGGGGCACCCGGCAGGGGGGGCCGGCGACCGACGGGGGGCTGCCCTCGCGGGGCCCCAGCGCATCGCGAGAGGGAGCACGGCCCACGGTTTCTCTTGTGAAGTTCGGCCTCATGGGGGATGAGCCGGCCCCGGGGAGCTGGTCCAGTCCCGGGGAATCGGTCCGTGTGATGCGTGTCTGATGTGTGATGTGTTTTTGGTGTGTGTGTGTGTGAATGGTGTCTGTGTTGTTGTGTTGTCTGATGTGTGTCTGATGTGTGTGTGTGTGTGTGTGTCTGATATGTGTGCTCTGTGTTCGTTGTGTGCGTGGTGTGTGTGGTGTGGGTGTGCGACGGGAAGGAGGCGGAGGGTAGGAGAAGAGACGCGGGTGCGACGCGGGAGTGGAGGAAACCAGCACCCCACTTAGCATGTGAGGAAAAGGAGAGAGAGGGAGAGAAAAACACAAAGAATCAGACATGTTCCAGAAGCGAGGGCCATTAGATACTCTAGAAGTCCTGGGGCGTCCCATGAGGCGATCCTATCATGGCATCGTTCTTGTCTGGGTGCGGGGGGCACCTCCTCAGAGTGGACGTTATGGACAGGTGGATGACGTCCACGATGATGATGCTGATGCTGATGATGATGATGATGATGATGATGATGATGATGGTGGTGGTGGTGATGGTGGTGGTTGCGATGGTGATGATAATGGTGGTGGTATTGGTGATGATGGCGATGGTGCTGATGATGCTGACGATGAAACTGATGACGATGATCATGGTAATGATGACAATGCTGATGATGATGACGATGCTGATCCTGCTGATGATCACCATCATGGTCATGATCATGATCATGATGGTGACGGCGATGACGACGATGAGGATGATGACGATAATGATGATGAGATGATGGTGATGATGATGATGATGCTGATGATGATGATGATGATGATGATGATGATGATGATGATGGTGAAGAGGAGGAGGTTGGGGATGATGCTGATACTGATACTGATGCTGTTGATGCTGCTGATGATGCTGCTGATGGTGATGGTGATGGTGATGATGATAGTGATGCCGATGAAAATGGTGATAGTGATGGTGATGGTGATGGTGATGGTGATGATGCTGCTGATGATTATCATCATCATCATCAGCATCATCATCATCATCATGATGCTGATGGTGGTGATGATGATGTTGCTGCTGATGATGACGACTCGATCGTCTTGATTTGTCATGAATGTGGAGCCTCGGCGGCAATGCTAATTGTGATGCTGATGATGGTCAAGGTGGCGGTGGCGATGTCTGCGACGGTGATGACGTCCGCGTTTGGGTTGATTTGGGTCATCTGGGGCCCCGCCGCTGAAGAGGAGCGGAGGGGTGCGTACTCTCTCTCTCTCTTTCTCTCGCTGGGCAGCGTCTCTCGGAGCCTGCGCGTGATGCCAGCCGCTGCTGCGACGACGGACCGCGACCACGACCGCCACCACGACGACGATGACGACCCGCAGCCACGGCCAGGGGAGTCGCAACGACTGCAGTGACACCTCGAACACGACGACGACGCTGATGACCCAAACGATAACGGTGACGGCCACGACGACCGCCGCCACGATTACGAGCACCACGACTGCGAAGTCCGCGACACCTGCCCAGACGACCACCACGACGACCATGACGACCATGACGACTTCAGCGACGACCACGACGACCACAGCCACGACGACGACCGCGACGACTACGGCGACCACGACCACGGTGGCGATCGATCGATGGCGATACTGGCCAATCATCTGCATTGCCGCGTTGCTCTGCTCCTTTTGCGCAGGGGGGGCGGGGGCGACTCGGGGCCCACGACCTGGGGCCCGAACGCCGTTCGGCCGCCGAGTGGTCCCCCCGACCGCGGCAAGACCCGAGCCCGCCCCGCCCTGAACTGCCTGACAGGCGATCGCGACCTCCAGGGCGGCTTGGGCCTGGATCTCTTCCCTCCCGTCCCTCCTCCTCCTCCTTCCCTCCTGTTCTCTTTTTCCTCCTCCTCCTCCTCCTCCTCCTCCTCCTCCTCCTCCTCCTTCTCTCCCCATCCTCCTCTCCTCCTCCTCCTCCTCCTCCTCCTCCTCCTCCTCCTCCTTCTCCTCCTCCTCCTCCTCCTCCTCCCGGGCGCCAGCCGCCGCGACGATGACGGCGACGGGTGAAGACGAGGGACGACGACGACGACGGACGTCGAAGGCGGACGACGACGACGAGTGCCGCAAAAATGACGAACAAGATCGCTGCGACCACGGCGACCACTGCGGCGACCACGGCCACCACAACGACCACCACGACGCAGACGAGGTGGACGACATCGACGAAACCAGGCTGAGCCTGGATCGCTTCCCTCCCACGACGCCGACGATAACGACCACGACGGTGGCGACGGCGGCGACCACGACGCAGACGACGGCGAGGATGGACACCAACGATGACCACGTGCACGGGCGAAGACGGCGAGGAGCGACAACTATGACGACCTCGATGGCGACGACGTCGGCGAGGACGGCCCAGATGGCCGGGACCGCGGCGGCGACGCCAGCGACGACGCCGACGACGACGGCCACGACGACGGACCACGCCGCGGGGCCGCGTCCGCGGGGCCACGGCGGCGGCGGTCCGCCACGGCCCGCGCCCCGCCGCGCGCGAGAGAGGTGCTGAGCAGACGCGCCGCCTGCCTCCTGCAGGTGGGCCAGACGCGCGCCGCTCCCCCCCCCCCCCCCGCACGCGCGCGGGGTGGCCGCCCTTCTGTCGATGGGCCCCACGGCCGTTCGGAGGGCCCTCGGGATGGCGAAAGCGGGAGGGGCCGAGAAGCCTCGGGATCCGTTTCCCCTTGGATTATCTCTCCTCCCTGCCGGGCCGAGTCCTACGGGAGGCAGGCAAATCCAACCTTGATGCCCCGGCTCGAGGCGTGTGGCCAGGGCCTTGTGCCAAGGCCAGGACACTGAACGTTGCCTTGGATCCTATCAGCCTGAAGCAGATCCCGATCCCTATGATTGGCATCGCCTTCTCTCGATGCCGATCTTACGGGTTCTTCCAGTTTGTGAGGACGCATCCCTAGGATTGTCCTCGCCTTGTGGCTTGTCAATCTGAGGGATCGGAGGGGGGTGAGATCGCAGTGGAACGGAGTGCTCCCACCGGGGAATCGGTTTCGGTTTCGTGTTCGCGTCGTGCGCGCAGGCAAGGCCAAGCTGCGTGGCCGCGCGAGAGGAATGACCCCGCCGTCGTTAGGGCGACTCGGATGCAGTGGACCGCCCCTCCGCCCCCGGTGGGCGCGCGGTGGCTTGGGGTGTCCCGCCATGGTGTCCTGTGGTGTCCCGTTGGTGTCCTGTTGGTGTCTCGTCGGTGTTCCGTCGGCGATGGGCGGGCTGTGGCCGGGGGTGTCCCGACTTGGTATCCATTGTAAAGGCGATAGTGAGATCGATCATGAGATCGCTAGAATGGGATGGACAGTGAGATCAAAAGTGGGATCGTCAGTGAGGTTGATCGGTTGATTGTGACTTTGGCTGTGCTCGCGCTGTCGGATGCGCAGGCAGGCGACGTCCCCTGGGTCGTGCAGGCGTCGCGGGGACAGGTGATCTCCCCTGGGGCGAGCACAATGGGATCGATCACACAATCGATTTGTGCTAACACTGGCCGTGAGGTCGATCGTGGGATCGATTGAGCGTGATCGAAAGCGGGGACATCGTCATCACGCGTCGTCGCTAACTCGAGGGCCCGGCACCACCATCGCCATCCGCGCACCCCTCGCAGTTGCCAGCAGCTGGTTTTCTCTCCCCCGCCCGACGTTTTTTATGTCCCCTGGGGGCTCCCCCGAACAGGAACGTCGGGGTGGCGGGCCTTTTCTCTCCTCCTCGCCCCTCCCCCCTCCGTGGCCCGCGGTGCTTCGCACAGCGCCCAAGACGCTGCTCTGTTCCCGAAGGGTGGTCGTGCAGGTGGGGGGTACAGCTCGCGGCTGGCCAGGAGCGGCAGCAGCCGCCAGCGCACCCTGCCGCGCGTGCGCGCGGCCGCGCCGAGGACCTCCGGCTCTGCTTCGTGAGAATGGCCTGCCAGGCGCGGCGTCGTCGCCGCCGCTGGTCAAGCAGTGGCGAAGCGTCCCGGCGCGCTTATAGCCCCACCAAACAATGTTCTAAGACCATTTTGTGGTTCCCACGAAATGTTCTTAGAACATTTCTGGCTGGGACTGTTTTGTTGTAGCACATCGGGTCTATGTCATGAGAACATTGTTTTTGCTCTTAGAACATGTTTGGGTTTATAAGAAGATTTCGTGGCATGACTATAGGAATGCCGGGACGGTCGGTCCCTGTTCAAGCTGGTCGCCGCCGCTTCTGGCGCGGTTCAAACTGACACCGCGCACGGTGCCCGTTGTGCTGCGCCCCCCCCCCCCAGGCAGCCTTCGAACGCGCCGACAGTTTCGCGGTTCGCAATCGCCTAGGGACGGTGAGGTCTAATCTGCAGCCGCGCCTGGCACCCACTATGCTGCCACCCCCCTGCAGCTGCCCCCCCCCCCCCCCAACAGCCGCCGTGCTGCGGCCGGCGTCGTCGCCGCTGCTGGTCGCCGCCGCTCCTGCCGTCCGCCGTGGAGGGCCCTCGGCAAGAGTTCCCAGAGGGCTTCTTGGGAGCCAGAGGGCCTCTGAGGAGCCACCTGCCTTCTGGGAGGCCGCCCCCCTCGCCTCCCCTTAGGTGGGGCCTGTCCCGCTGCAGTTGGAGAATTCCAAAATAGTCCAAATATCGGCAGGGGACTACCTTTTTGTGTAATAGCATGTGTGTCCAATGTTTTAAAACATCTGACTCTTTGTTATGCCTATGTTTTATTTTTCGTCCAAAACCCGCCTGTAGGAGGGCATGCCCGACCCAGGCCTCCCCCCCGTGTGCGCCAAGTTGTGGCGTTGCGCGCGACGACGTATATAAAGGACCAGGACCCTGAGGGAAGCGGGTCCCGAGCTGCTCCTCGTCGTCGGGCCCCCGGGGCCCGAGGCTCCCGGACCCGCCTCCCTCGGTGCTCCCAAGTCGTCGCCGCTGCTGTCGCCGTCCTCGCCGTCGTCGCGTCGTCGTCGGTCGTGGTCGGCGTCCTCGTCGTCGGCGTCCTCGTCGTCGTCGTCGTCGTCGTCGTCGTCGTCGTCGTCGTCGTCGTCGTCGTCGTCGTCGATCGTCCGTCGCCATTTTGGCTCAAGCGGGTTCCTTAGCTGCCCCGGCGGGCGCGAGGCGCGAGCACGGCGGCGCGGGCAGGGTTGCCTGGCGGCGAACCTGGAGCGAGGCAGGTGTCGAGGAAGACGCGGGCGGAGCGGACGGCGGCACTGCGGCGGGCGCTGCTGGAGGCGGATCACGGCCTGGTTGCCGCCAAGTCGTAGGTCCAGACGCTGCGTGGCGAACTGGAGGCACTGCGGAGCAGCTACGCGGTCATCGCGGGGGAGCCAGAGCTGACTGACCGCGTCGCGCCGCTCGTCCTGGCCTGCTGGGCCTTGCTGTGCGGGGCATGGCTTCGTCGGCAAAGGAGGCCCTGAGGAGGAACGTGGCGCCGCATGCGGACGGCAAGTGGCACTGCATAGCCTAGGCGGACCGCGCGCTTATGCGCAGGCTGCAGGAAGACCGCCTGCAGGTGCGCCAGGCGCCGCGGGAGGTGCCGCCCTTGGACGTTGGCCTGCTGGCGCTGGAGCCTGGCGCCCACCCCCCATTCGTGCAGGGCGCGGCGAGCACGTCCGCCTGGGAGGGCGTGGAGACGTCGGAGGGTTGCTGGAGGCGCTTAGGCCTGCGGAAGTGGGCCGTGCGAGGAAGACATGTCGGAGCAGACGGAGGACGAGGACCGGGAGGAGGAGGAGCAGGAGGAGGAGGAGGAGGAGGAGCAGGAGGAGGAGGAGGAGGATAGCGGGCAGGGCGGCGTCGAAGCGGAGGTCAGGAGCAGCGAAGGCGAATCCCTTTTTCGGACGACAGCTTCGACGGTTTCGGGGGGCCAGGGGAGTGCGCGGCCGAAGGCATGGATCAGGAAGGCGTCTCGTCGGAAGACGGCCTGGAGGACGAGGACGAGTCGGACGCCGAGGACAACGACGGCGCGGAGATGGAGGAGCCTGCCCGCCGATGTCGGAGCGGAGCGCCGCGGCCGTGCCGCCGCGAGTGCAGGCGAGCGCCCGACGGCAGCCTCCATGACAAGGCGGCGTTCGTGGGGCACTTCGGGGAGAGCTTCGGCCGCCACGCTTGGGGGGGGAGAGTGCGCAGCCGAGGGCGGCCGCGCCGCGCCGGAGACGCTCCCGAGCAGGGCGCCGCCTGCGAACGGCAGGCGGGGCTGCCGAGGTGGCCGCACGGCGGAGGAGGCGGTCAAAGAGCTGAGCTTGGCGAAAGGGGCCCGGGAGCGGCGGGCGGCAGGCGGAGAAAGGGGGCCACTTGCGAGGCATGTCGGCCAGGCGAAGAGGGGTGAGGGCGGCCGCGCGCGATTGCCACGCGCGGGTCGCCCTCCGCGAGCGGAACGCAGGCGGCGCTGTCGGAAAGCGTGGGTTAGCGTCCTTGTCATCGTTCGACGTCGTCGCTATGGTCGCCGTTGGAGGAGGAGGAGGAGGAGGAGGAGGAGGAGGAGGAGGAGGAGGAGGAGGAGGAGGAGGAGGAGGACCCGTGTAAACCCAAAACCCATCAACGATGTCGGAGGAAGCCCTTCCTCCAAACTCCCTGTTCACAGGCCCCTACGAGGATTCATTTCATTGGGGGAAGTTTCCTGTCGGGACACAACCGTTTCAAGATCCTGGTGCGCGTCAAACAAGTCTTTCTCGGGACTCTAACGCCACGGATCCATTAGAGTGTTGCGTCTTGACGATCCTGAATCGTGCCAGAGCAGTACTCCTGAGAATTCAACGCCGCGAATCAACGTAACTGCTGCGCCTTGACAATCCTGAATCGTTCGAAAACACCATGCCTGGTACGTTCGCCCTGCGAATATATGAAGCCTTTGTGTAATTTTGTAAACAGAAAGTGCGCGGCGCATTGGCGAGAGCCACATTTTGAAAAGGAGCCGCCCTCAATCCGTGAAAGTCTTACAACGGGTTCAGAAGAGCGCGCGCGGCGACAAGGCGAGAGCCACATTTTGAAAACGGCCCGCCATCAACCCGCTGAATTCTCGCAAGTGCGTCACACGATTTGTGCGCGGCAAACAAACGAGAGCCACATGTTGGAAGCGCCCCCCTTTCATTGTGAAGCTTTAACACATGTTCAAGCTTCACGGTCATAGATGGTGAGGAAGTCTCGGCGAAACGCCCGGCCTGTTTTTTCGATCAGCCTCCGGGTGCGACAGGAAGGCGTTACTTGCAAGGACTAGGTATTGAAAAAGGAGGAGGCAAGGGAGGAGGAGGAGGAGGGGCAGGGAGGAAGGGGGAGAGAGGCAGGAGGAGTGGGAACGGGAGATGCAGATGCAGGACGGGGGCGAGCAACGGGCGGGGCAGGCGGGGGGGACGGCGGAGGGCGGACCAGCAGAGGATCGCCCGAGGCACCTAGCGGCAGATGCAACTCGCCCCAGATGTGCGCCAGGTGGACGACGACGATGCATCTCCAAGCCGAGGATGAGGGTCGAGACTCGAGGGTTCAAGGATGCTGGTGTTTTTGTTGACCTCCCCCCGCCGTGTGATTTGCCCGTCGGATGGCTCTCTTAGGAGAAAAAACATGGCGTCCGCTGACCTGACTTCCCCGCCCACTCTTCCTCATTTTTCTACCTTCGCAGTACCCCTCGCCCCCCAACCTCCCCCCTCCTCCTCCCCAGACATCCGACGATCGGATTCTTACAAGGCCCGGCCCAAGCGTCCACACCGCTGCCATGGAAGTACTTCTCATGGCCATTTCTGGTGGTCCCGGGGTCCGTCCGATCACGCGCCCCACGAGGCCGAACTCGAGAAAACACACCGGCACGGACAAACCCAGCATCGTCGGAAATGGCGGTTCCCTTCCCAGGATTGGAGTTCCAGGCCGTGCGCCAGGGGTGGCGGCGTCGGCAGCCGTGGCCTGCACGCGGCGCACGCGGCCAGCGCTCGCGCCCGAGGAGTCCTTCTCCGTGGACACGGGGGGGGGCGGGCCCCGCCACAACATGTGCGTCGCCTTGGTGAAGCTGCAGCTGCTCACGTGCGAGGAGAGCCTCGCAGGCGCCGCCCCAGCCTCGAGCAGTGGCGAAGCGTCCTGGCTTGTTCAGAGGCCCACCAGAAAATCTTCTACGTAAGGACCTTCCGTAGTTTGCACGAAATGTTCTTGGAACATTTCTTGCTGGGAATGCGTTCTCTTGTTCTTGGAACATTTCTGGCTGGGACTGCTTTCTCTTAACACATCGGGTTGATGCTCCAAGAACACTGCGCTGTTATTATTAGAACGTCTTCGGGATCTGCGAGAATCTCATGGTTGGCCCGTAGGAATACTGGGACGGCTGGTCCCTGCTCAATAGCCGCGGCTCAGGCTCTATCCATGGCCGCCGCCTGGGGGATAGACTTGACTTAATCTGGCCTGTCCCTTTACAGGAGGAATATCCAAACATGGTCAAACAAGCAGTCTGGGGACGATTTTTCATGTTTTGGTTTTGCGACTGTGTTTGGGTATGTTTTGACTTTGTCGTCCAGACCCAGACCCCCGACGTCATGATTTGCTTCATGACGTCGACCCCATAAAGGTCTGGACCCCTTCCCCGGGACCGGCTTTTCATCCCGAGTCGTTTCTTGACGGTCCCGAGGGCCGGTAAGGGCCCCCCGAGGCCAAAAATCATGTGAAGGACCTCCCGTCGTGATTTTTTCATAACTCGAGGGGGTCTGGGTTGGATGGAGGTTCTCGTTGCCACAACCTGGGCGCAGCTTGAGAGACGGGGCAGTTTGGGCCCACGGGCGGGGACCCATGATGGGCCTGCTTTCCACCACCACCACCATAAGTTGGAGGGGGAGGGGGTCCTCCTCCTCCTCCTCCTCCTCCTCCTCCTCCTCCTCCTCCTCCTCCTCCTCCTCCTCCTCCTCCTCCTGTTGGAACTCCGCCCTGCAGGAGGACCCGCCCGACCTCAGGATATAGACCTCCCGTGGGCCTCGGCACGCGGCGGCCCTGGTAATAGCCTCGGGCCCTCGGCGGCGGCGTGGACGTCGGCTCCCTGGGCGGTGGGCAGGGGCCACTCGCGGCCGCGACCCCGGACGCCCCAGACCCCCTCGAGTCCCCAGGCCTCCAACGTATTGAACAAAATCAAGACGGAGGTTCTTCTCGATGTTCGGCCCCTAGCGGCCCTCGCTGGGCCCCGGGACCGCCAGAAAACGACTCGGGATGAATAACCGGTCCTGGGGAAGGGGTCGAGATTTCCGGAGACCCCGCATCGACAAAAGTCAAGACATCGAGGAGGAGGAGGAGGCGGAGGAGGAGGAGGAGGAGGAGGAGGAGGAGGAAGAGGAGGGGGAGGAGGAGGAGGAGGGGGAGGAGGAGGAGGTGGGAGGAGAAGGAGGGAAGAGGAGGTGGGGAGGAGAGGAGGAGGAGGGAGAGAAGGTGTGGAGGATGAGGTGTTTGGAGAAGGGGGGGGGGGGGGGGGGGAGGAGGAGGAGGAGGAGGAGGAGGAGGAGGAGGAGGAGGAGGAGAGGAGGAGGAGGAGGAGGAGGAGGAGGCCTCCGGAGGCCCTTACCGGCCCTCGGGACCGTCAAACACTGGGCTTGGGATGCAGAGCCGGTCCCGGGGACCGGGTCCAGACCGCTGGGGGTTCACGTCATGAAAACTGCAGGACGGCGGGGGTCTGGGACCCCAGGCGTCCAGGCGCTGCTCGAGCAGAAAGCGAGGCAGCCGGCCTGTTTGGCAGTAATTGTTGTTGGGGGCCTCTCGAGCCGGAGAGGCCCCGCGCGGCTGTCAGCAAGCATCTCGGGGCCAAAAGGCGGCCCCAGGGGATCGGAGCATAGGGAAGGGCACCGTCCCCTTGTCGCCACGGCTGCACTCGCTTCGAAGCCCTGGGTAGAAAGCACCCCGGGCGAGGTCCAGGGCGCAGCGGCGTCGGTATCTTTTTATGTTTCTTGTTTTTTTGTTTCTCTCTCCCTCTCTCTCTCTCTCTCTCTCTCTCTCTCCCCAGGCGACAGGGCCGCGAGGTTCGGGTGCGCTTCTCTCCAAGTGGCCTCGCGGCTGGGCGTTTGGGGAGGGGTGCAGAGGGGCGCGGCGCCTTGGGGCGGGCGCGGGCGGGCGCGGGCGGGCGGGCGCGGGGGTTGTTGGAGGTCTTGTCCAGGCGCTCCTGTGTTGATGGGTCCTGTTTGCCCGCTCCTCATGCACGGTGGCACACTTCGCTACAACGGTACCCCCGTGGAAGCAGCCCTCCGCCAGCGCAGTTGTTCTGCCGAGGCGCTGGCCCCCAAAAACCGGTTCATGGGTCCTGGGCCTCTCTCCGTTTGCCCCGCGCGCCCGGCCCCTTCCTTCCTCCCCCCCGCGGGGGCGTCCGCAAAAAGGTCAGGGCTATAGGGGGGGATGACCTTGAGCAGGGCCGTGCCTGCCTCCCGGGCCCCTTCTTCCAGCAGTTCCGCTGCTGATGCTGCGCTTCTCGCCGCTTGCTGCTGCTGTACTGCCGCCGTTGCCGCCGCTGCTCTGCCCCCGCGCTGCCCCGCGCGTCCCCTTCGGCACACCCCCTCGCGCGGACCGTGCCGCCAAAGGGAGCTCCACCCAGCGGCCCTTGCGGGCGGTTTCGCGCACCGTCGCCCCGCCCACGCCGGCTCCCCCCTCGCACAGATCGTGCCCCACAGAGAGCCCCACGGGCTGGCACAGTGTCGCCCAGCCCACGCTTGCACTCGCGGATCGTGCACCACAGGAGCTCCGCTTACGGTCCCAGCGGAGCGGGTCAGCACAGCGTCGCCCCGCCCGTGACGGCAAAAATCTCGCGCGGATCTCCACTTGCTGGTTTTTTCGGGGGGGAGGGGGGCACGGCGTCGCCCCGCCGCTTCCGGCGCGCCCCTCAGGCGGATCGTGCTCCGCCCACGATTCCAGCGGGCGGGTCCGCAGGCGCTTCCTCGTCCAATCTCGCACATCCCTCATGCGGATCGTGCAGACATGGGGAGCTTCACTCACGTCCCCAGTGGGAGCGTCCGCATGCGATCCCCCGCCCACGTCGGCACTCCGCCCGCGGCGCTCGCGCGGCTCGTGCCTCATGGTGGGGGGGGGGTCCCAGTCGGTGCGTTGCCACGCGGGCACCGCTGCGGGCACTCCGCCCAGGCTGACTGTGCTTGGGGGGCCTTGCACGAGCCAGGCTCGATGAGCTGGCCCAGATGGCGTTCAGTCTTGGGCTCCCGGGATCGCCGCTGATCTTCGGGACGCCCAATACAGTGGGGCCCCATGCCAAGAAACACCCTGCTTGCATCCAGGGTGCCCTGGGTTCCTTTGGTGTCGATGGTTTTGCAGTGGAAAGCGCCACGTTCCCACACCAAAAATCGATGGAAGTCCTGGGGTCTCGGGGCTGGGTTTCTTGTGGAAGCTATCTTGTGGATTGGCCTCCACTGAATGTGCTGGCGTGTGTTCACCCCGCTCAGCCCCACCGACAGCGTTCGGCCAGCGTCGGCCCTCAGTGTGCACCGCGCCTGCGCCGTGTCGAGGCAAGGCCTCGGCGGGCGAACGCACGGTGTGGCGCCAACTCGTGTCCTGAGGAGCATCGGTAGAGAACCTTGCGCAAGAGTGGAGAGCAGGAGGAGGAGGAGGAGGAGGAGGAGGAGGAGGAGGATGAGGAGGAGATGATGAGAAGGAGTAAGTAGGGAGGAAGGGAGGAGGAGGACGCGGCCGCGGGACGTTATAGGCGAGGAGGCAAGTGAGGAGGGGGCAGAAAGGAGAGATGATGAGGAGATAGTAAGAAGAGTCTTAGGGAGTCCTAGGAACTAGGCATCAAATGGAAGAGGAAGTCTCCTTCCCGTCCCCCATTTAGTCCCCCCTCCCTCCCTACTTCCCGCCTCCTCCTCCTGGCCGCTCAGCTCATCCTCCTGCTCCTCCTCCTCCCGTCCTCCCCTCCTCTCTCTCCTTCCTCCTCCTCCTTCTCCTCCCTCCTCCTCCTCCTTCCTCCCTCCTACCCTCCTCCCTTCCTCCCTCCTCCCTCCTCCCTCCTCCCTCCTCTCCCTCCTCCCCTCTCCTCCTCTCCTCCTCCTCCTCGTCTCCTCCTCGTCCTCCTCCTCCTCCTCCTCCTCCTCCTCCTCCTCCTCCTCCTCCTCATCCTCATCCTCATCCTCCTCCTCCTCCTGGTCCTGGCCCCAAGGCGTCGCGGAAGAACAGATCACGAGAGGGGGCTTGGCATGTTCGTCGAAAGCACGGCCGCCCTCTGGAGGGAAGTGTGTGTCGGGCCGCCGGCGCCGTCTAGTGGCCGTGCCCGCGTCGGCAGAGAGCCGCCTTCTGGGGAGAGCGGGTGGTGGACCCAAATCTGTGACGATCTGATTGTTTCAATCTTGGCGTTGTTCCCCGATTCTTGCCTCGGGGGCCTGTTATCGAACCCCAGGGCCCAGGGCCATGAAAATGCAGCCAGGGCGAAAACCTACCCCCAGGGAAGGGGCCAGGACCTCTGCGACCTCTGGGGAGGTGTTGGGGGCGGCCACGAGGCGGGTGATGACCCTGGGTGGGGACCATGGCCAGGGCCATCGCCCCCCCGTCTTATTTCAATACGTCCCGTGGCCCCCCTTGGGCCGCATGCGTGCCCCGGCCATGATTTGCGACCCCCCCTCTGGGATGCCCCTCTATTGGGCGCCCCTGGAGCGGGGCAGGTGGAAGGGGGAGGGGGATAGAGTAAGTACAGGAATGAGAAGGAGCGGGTGGGAAGGGGGTTAGAGGGCGAGGAGGAGAGAGGGTGAGGAGGCAAGCTAGGTGCGCTCGCGTCATATCTGATGTCCTATCCCTCCCACCCATCCATTCCCATTTCGTTCTTGTGTCTCTATCCGCGGACGCGTTTCATAGCGGACCTGGAACTCCCAGAAAGACAACACAATCGTTTGCTGCGCAATCGGAAGGGGGGAGCTGAGCAGGAGCAAAAGGAGAAGGATGAGGATGGAGGATGAGGAGGACGAGGATGAACTGCAGCAGCAGGAATTGGAGTGGACGGAACGGGATGAGCAGGATGACCTGGAAGCGGAGAAGGGGAAACGGAGGGGGGCGACAACGATGATGAAGGACTCGGGACCAGAATGGCCAGCGCCGGGGCGAGAACGCCATTCTAAACGACGGGAGCCGAGCGCCGATCCGAACATGAGGCCCACGCTGCAGCGGGGACACCATGCTGGAACACCAAAAACAGCAGGATTGTCACCAACGGTTCGACAGCATCATCGTTGGGACAGAGCCAGGGGAGATGGGGGGGCAGTATGCATAATGTGTGACTGTTAAGTCTTGCTGCCGCCCCGGATCCTGGTCCTTGGAGGAGGTCCCCAAGGGCGTCCAGAGGGCTGAGAAGAGCTCCGAAGCAGCCAGCAAGCCATCCGAAAGCATCCAATAACCTTCGTTCCCGCGTCGAGCCTTCAGGGCCGAGGAGAGCGGACGGCGTCGCCCCAGGCGACCTGGCCAATGAGCTCGGCGAGCTGGAGAGCAATGTTATCGCCCCGATGCTCGACTTCGGTGACGGCCTGCGAAGTCGGGGGGGGGAGAGAGAGAGAGAGAGAGAGAGAGAGAGAGAGAGAGAGAGAGAGAGAGAGAGAGAGAGGAGAGAGAGTGAGAGAGAGAGAGAGAGAGAGCGAGAGAGAGAGAGGAGAGTAGAGATAGAAGAGAAGAGGAGAAGGAGGAGGAGGAGGAGGAGGAGGAGGAGAAGGAGCTGGAGGAGAAGAAAGAGAGGAGGAGGAGGAGGAGGAGGAGGAGGAGGAGGAGGAGGAGGAGGAGGAAGAGAAGAAGAAGAAAAAGAAGAAGAAGAAGAAGAAGAAAGAGAGGAGCAGGAGAGGGAGGAGGAGGAGGGTGAGGGGAGGAGGCTGAAATGAAAGGAGGAATGCGGAGGGCAAGGGGGAAGGGATGGAAGAGGAGGGGGGGAGTCAGGGGAAGAGGGAGGGAAAACGCGGAAGGCCTTCTCGACGCAAGGCCAGCCTCAGCTTTCGTTGAGCAAGTTTGTTGTTCTTGGTTGGTTATCGTTCTCCTCCTCTTCCCCCTGCGGCTGCATCTGCTGCTGCCGCTGCTGCTCCGAGCAGGAGCAGCAGCAGGAGGCGGGGAAGGACGCCGACGCCGACGGCGGCCCCAGACACCCAGCATCGCGTCTTCTCCGTGATGTTGGACCCCCGAAGTCTCGGCCCCTGCAGCAGCAGCAGCAGCAGCAGCAGCAGCAGCAGCAGGCAAAATACGAGGAGGAGGAGGAGGAGGAGGAAAACATGGGGGCATATCTTTGATCGAGGGTATTGATCGCAGCCCTCGGCGGCATCTTCGGTGCTGAGGACTCTGGAACGGGCTCTTTTCAGCCCGAGTCGTTTGTGGCGATCCAGGGGCCCAATGAGGGCTCCCCAGAGGCCGACAAGATTGCCCAGCAAGGTCCACCGCGATGTGGTTGTTCCGCGACGCGAGGGGGTCCGCAGTGTGGACGGCGACCACGCCGACGACGCTGGCGACAGGGGCGGCGGCGGAGCCAGCGGCGACGGCGGCGGCGACGACGACTGCGGCGACGGCCGTGACGGCGGAGGTCTGGCCATCGAGCCAAAGCTCCTCTTGGCCTCTGGCGATCGATCGGGACGATGCGGGGGCCCCCAGAAGTCCCTTGACGAGGCGCAGCTGCTGGAACGCATCCCGAGGCGAAAAGCTTTCCAAGAGCCGACGAAAACGTCCAAGCACCAGATCGACATGCTCGATCAAGTGGCGACGGCGGCGACAGCGCCAGCGGCGACAACGGCGAGGCCCCAACCCGAGGCGAGAAAACATGGAAGGTTGAGGAGGACAAAACAACATAAACATACACTGTTCCTGGGCTGGAACCCCCCTGGGGATCTGGGTTCTGGGCTGGGCTCCCCCTGGGAACGCCCCCGGCGCCGCCCCTGGCGCGCTCCGCGCGCCAAGGGCGGGAGGGGTCCAGTGCCGATCCGAGAAATCCGCGCGGAGCTCCGAAAGCTGATGCCTATGCAGTCCACGTTCCTTGTAGAGTTGAGTCGGGCATGCCCCTCTACAGGAGGAACAATAGTAACAAATGGTCTGGGGACGATTGTCAGAGCATTTGTTCTACCATTTTGGAGTATTCTTGAGTATCTTTTCAATTTGTCGTCAGAAATCCCCCTGTCGGAGGACAGGCCCGACTTCTGTGTAGAGGGATCACCGAAAACGTGTGAGCTCGCCACCGAACGCGTCGGAAAGCCGTTGTAGAAGCACCACCTGCAACGTCGGACGACGTCCAGAAACGTCAGGAATGTGATTAGGGGAACAAGAAGTGACATAAACATACAAACTCGAAGGTCCGCGCGGATTTCTCGGATCGGCGCTGGGGCCCCCCGGCGGCGCCTCCGGCGCCGCCCCTGGCGCGCTCCGCGCGCCCCGGGAGGGGGGTCCAGCGCCGATCCGAGAAATCCGCGCGGACCTCCGAGTTTTTATGTTTATGCCACTTTCTGCTCCCCTAGTGATGCGCATGACGTTCCTGCATCTCTCAGCAGAGCCACCCAAAACGTCCGAAAATCGCCCACGGCAGGCCTCGGTCCGGCGGCGGCGGCGGCGGGCAGCGCCGCCCGCGGACGCCGCCCGCGGGCGCCCGCGGAGGCGACCCCGCCGAGGCCGGCGGGGCGCTGGAGAGGTGCGCCCTTCGGGCGGCTGCCCGCCTCTCTCCACGCTGGGCGGGGCAGGCGGCCGTGGATCCGGCACGGATGCGACACGGATGCCCAGACCCCCACGGAGGAGGAGGAGGAGGAGGAGGAGGAGGAGGAGGAGGAGGAGGAGGAGGAGGAGGAGGAGGAGGAGGACGTTGCGAAAAAGTCACGACGGGAGGTTTCTCGCTATTTTCGTCTCTGGGGGCCCCTTCCCGGGCCTCGGGACCGTCAGAAAACGAGCCAGGATGAAAAACCGGTCCCGGGGAACGGATCCAGATTTCTGGGGGTCGAGGACATTGAAAAGTTATGACGTCGGGGTTCTGGATTCGGCGCGTCCGACATGGATCCGACACGAAGTCAACGCGCTCGACACGGATGCGACACGAATGCGACACGGGCGGGCGTCGTTGTGAGGCAGACGAGGTCCCCCAGAGATGCAGCGTGAGGTGTTGATCTTCCGACGGAGCCTGCCCATCCCCACGCCTCCCTCCCCCACCTCTCCCTCGCCCCTTTCACCACCCCTTTTGACAGCACGTGCCCAGCCCCCCGAGCGGATCCAAGGAGGGGGGGGGGCGAGGAGTGTCCCACCCGGAGTGCACCTCGCGCTCCCGTACGAGAGGGCCTCGCCCTCGAGGATCGAGGATCGAGGGATCGAGGATCGAGGATCGAGGGAGCTGGGAGCTGGCCTCGCCTTCGAGGGATCGAGGATCGAGGATCGAGGGCCTCGCCTTCGAGGATCGAGGGAGCTGGCCTCGCCTCCTCGGCGGAGGGCGGCGGACGCGGAAGCGACCGCGGACGCAAAGCGAGGGAGGCTCCGCTGGCGGAAGCCGGCGGGCGCTGAAGTCGGCCTCCCACGAGATGGTCCGTTTTTTGTTACTCGGGGTTTCTAGACAAGCCACCTCTCTCACTCTCTCTCTCTTTTTCCCTTTTTTTTGTTTTCTCTCTCTCTCTCTCTCTATCTATATCTGTCTTTCTCTCGAGGAGGTCAGGGCCAGCGCCATCACGCCTGCCGTCCCTCCTCAGACGTGCGACATCCTGACTTTTTCAGGACGGCCTCCCTGGAAGTCCCGACCCTTTCCCCGGGGGCCGGTTTCTCCGAGGCCGGGCCATAGGGCCCCCGAGGGCCGAAAATATAGACAAAAATTGGCCGTCCTGATTTTTTCAGGACGCGATCGCCGCACACCCCCCCACACTCAGCTCCTGCTTCGGCAACTCCTTCTAGGCCCGATCCACCTCCTCCTCCTCCTCCTCCTCCTCCTCCTCCTCCTCCTCCTCCTCCTCCTCCTCCTCCTCCTCCTCCTCCTCCTCCTCTCATCCTCCTCTCTCCTCTCTCCTCTCTCCCTCCTCCTCCTCCTCCTCCTCCTCCTCCTCCCTCCTCCTCCTCCTCCTCCTCTCCTCCTCCTCCTCCTCCTCCTCCCTCCTCCTCCTCCTCCTCCTCTCCTCCTCCTCCTCCTCCTTTCTCTCCTCCTCTCTCCTCCTCTGCCGCGGCTCCAGCGCCACCTCGGCGAGGAGCGCGGCCGCCGCCGCGGCGCGGGGCCGCAACCCCTTCATGTAGGCACCTCACGCCCGGCCTCGGCCCCGCCTCGCCTGGGCCCCCTCTCGGCGGCGTCGGCGGCGTCCGCAGGCCCGGGGGGCGCGGCGGGGTCGGAGCGGGCGCAGCCAGGACGCTGGAATCGGGGGCGGCAAAGAGGGGGGTGATGACCAGGGGGGGGTGGATATCATGGCGGGGGCCATGATATTTCCCCAGATTTCATGGCGCCTCTTCTTATTTCGTTACGTCCCTGCCCCCCCCGCTGGGCCGCGCACATGCCGCCGGTCATGATTTGCACCCCCCCCTCTTGGGCACCCCCCTCTTGGCCGCTCCCGACGCTGGAAGAACGACCGATTTGGGCTGTTCGGGCGCAGCGATTTCCAACGCACTGAAAAATATCAAGACGGAGGTCTTTCGCAGTCGTCGGCCTCCATAGCGGCCCTCGCCGGGCCCCGGGGCCGTCAAAAAACGGCTGGAGTGAAAAGCCGGCCCTGGGGAATGGATCGAGACTTCGGGGACCCCGTATTGAAAAGATCACGACATCGGATCTCTGTGGAAGAGGCTCGCTGTTCCTTGGGTCATTCCGTGGTCGTTCCTTCAGCGCTCCTCGTACACCCAGGCTGGTTTGGTGCCAAAGCGGGGCGATTTCGTTCTCAGTCTGGCGTCTCTGGGTTAATCGCTTCGCTCATTCCGTCGGCCCGTATTTAGCCATCGTCGGCCTTCGCGTGCGCGTTCGTGTGCCATGCGGCGCTGCTGGTCGACGCTGCTGCGGTTGTGGGTGGGAGTCCTCATGGATGCTTCTTGGTGTCTCCTCGGAGGGTTGTCGGGGAGCTGTTCTGTGGCAGTTTTAGGGGCTCTTAGGGGCCTCCTGGGGGCGCCTTGGATGCCTCTTTGGGCTCTCTTGGCGCCTCTTGGGGGCCTCTTGGGACCTCTTGGGGTGGCTCTTGGGGGCCGCTTGGGGCAGACTGGACGCCTCTTGTGGCCGAGGGCCCACAGGGCTCGTGGAGCTTCTGAGGAGCTTTCCTGGAGGCCTCTTGCGGCCTCCTGGGCGCGTCTTGGAAGCCTCGTGGGGCCCATTGGGGGCGCCTCGGAGGCCTGGGGGGAAGGCTCTGGGGGCGATCTACTGAGAGCTCTTCGGAGGCCTGGGGGGGGGGGCGGGCTCTGGGGACGAGTTTTGAGGCCGAACGCTCGAAATGTCTGGACTCCCCCTCGAGGGGACTTCCTGAAAGTATCTTGGGGCTCTCCAGCGCCATCTTGGGAGAAACTTGGGCCGTCTTGGAGTTCCCTGTGGGCCGTTTTGGAGCTTTTTGGAGGCTCAATGGGCCGTTTTGGAGCGATCGTAGGGGCTTCTTGGGCCGTCTTAGGGCGTCGGCAGCCGAAAAACTGTGAACACTGAAAACCTTCAAAACTAGTGAAAAACCGTTGAAGTTTGCCTCTAGGGGGCTTCTTGGGAGCGGTCTTGGAGGCATCTTCGGGAGCCTTGGAGGCGGTTCAAGCCGTCTGAAAGCCTTCTTGGGCATCTTGGAACGCCTCCTGGTGATTCTAAGCCCTCTCAGACTGCCTTGGAAGCCTCATGAGACGCTTTTGACGGCCCTGAAGGCAGCCCCCAGGATGTCCGGCATCAGTGACGGGAACCGTCTGGGACTTGCCGGGGGACCGCCCGGAATTTGCACAGGGTACTTTTCGTCTGGGGGCCCAAGAAGACAGCCGGGCGCGCGCGCACTGGAAGTATTCTAAAGCCGCTGCCCCAGATTTCAGCATGCCTTCGGCCCGTTGGGCCGGCGAATGTCAGCAGCCCGACTATATTCTGGCAGGGGGTTTCTGTCGTTGCAACTTCGGGGGTCCTTGCCCTGTCCTGTGAGTGGCAGTCTCTTCCCACGCCTCCTCCTCCTCCTCCTCCTCCTTCTCCACTTGCGTTTCACAAATCTTCGTCCATCGCGCCCAGCTCTCGTGGCTTGTCTTCCGTGGCCAGGCTGCGTGCGCATGTGGGCCGATGGGCCGAGTGATGCTCCAGCTCCTGCTTGGCTGGATGGCGGGCGCCGGCAGAGGTTGGCTCTGCCTGTGATTCACGACCACTGTTTTTCCGGACGGGGTACGGCTGCCACTTCCCCCCGTGGAGGGTGAGATATTCGAGGGGAATATTTTGTGTTCCCACGTGGGTTCGACGCAGATTCGGCGTGAACTCGGCGTGGACCGATACGGATTCGACACAGACTTGGCGCGTCCGACATGGGTCCGACATGGATGCGACACGGATGGCTGGCGCGGTGGGACACACAAGCTCCCCCACACAATGCAGCATAAGGCATATATCAAGGTGTGGATTGACCGTTCGACGAAGTTTGCCGATCCGCTCGCCCCTCCTCCCTCCTTCTCCTCCTCCTTGTCCTCCTCCTCCTTCTCCTTTTCTTCTTCCTCCATGTCATCGAGTGATGTTCGTGGTGTCCTCATGCTACTGCCGCGAGCATGCAAGGTCGAGTGCCGCCGAAAGGCGGGTGCCAGAAGCGATGTTCCTCCCCACCACCTGCCTCACATCCTGGCTGCCTTACATCTTGTCTCCTCATCCTCCTCCTCATCATCCTCCTCCTGTTCCCCCTCTTCTTATTCTACTTTTTCTTCTTCTTCTTGTTATTATTCTTATTATTATTACTATTATTATTATTTTTATTGTTATTATTATTATTATTGTTATTATTATTATTATTAATATTATTATGATTATTATTATGAGTATGATTATTATTATTAGTATAATTACTCTTATTATTATTATTTCTCCTACTCCTACTCCTACTCCTCCTCCTCCTCCTGGACCCAGCCTGAGCGCGAATGAGTTTGTCCGCGCCACTTGCCACTTACGCCACCGCATGGCCGAAGCCAGCCCCTTCCGACAGTACGTGGCCAACCCCCCCCCGCGGATCCAAGCCCAGACCCCCGACTTCATGAATTTTTCATGACGTCGACGCCCAGCGGTCTGGACCCATCCCCCGGGACCGGTTTTTCGTCCTGAGTCGTTTTTTGACGGTCCCGAGGGCCGGCAAGGACCCCCCCGAGGCCAAAAATAGTGAAGAACTTCCCGTCGTGATTTTTTCATGACCCGAGGGGAGGGCGAGGATGGACCCCTCCCATGGTGCGGACGGAGGCCCGCGGCAGCGCCTGCCCATATTTGTTGAGCCGGGCTCGATTGTCGGTGTCGCCGCGGCCTGCCCCAAAAGCGCCTGCCCGACAGCGGCCGCTGCTGGTTGTGCAAAACAAAACGCTTGCGGTTGGACATCGTTGAGGAGGAGAAAAAACTCAGAGCGTGAATTACCTACCCCGCTTTCGCTTCCAGGCAAAACCAAGTCGTACCACGCGCCTCCTCGTCGAGCGGCCTGACCAGTACAGGCCGTAGCTTGGCCTCGCTTGGTATCTCTTGGAAACGAGGGTGGTCAAAAGCGAGGTAGGTTGGTTTGTCCC